TCAGCCTTTCTGCTCCTATGATGCTGCTTGGCCTGCTGTGTTCATCCAGCTCTGCACCTTGTTGTCTCGGATTCTCCAGCATCTGCAGCTCCTACTATCTCTGATTTTCATCAGCTATCTCAACTGCTTGATTGCCTCTACATTTTTTAAGTATTGACTGAAAGTTCATCAAATGCTATTGTTGTACTAGGCATGACATGAGTCATTGACAAAATAAATAATTACCCAAAATTAATGGTGCCGAGAGGAAACTTTAGTTTTATTCAGTTTAAAATATTTATTGCCAGTTGTGATTATTCATTTGGAAACTGGTATAATAGGGAAATAATGGGGTTTCTGCTGGAGTTAATTTCAGCACTAAGCCCATAGTTTAATTTATTAAATTGTCTAAAACTTTTACTAAAATAAGCAGGGAGAAAGAACTCCTGGATTTCTTCAGATGGTGAATCAGCAAAACGCACTCCTCTCAGCCAAGAGAACAAATGATAGAGGTTTTCTCCTTAACACAAATCAGGTTCAAAGATGCAGACAAAACATACAACATTAACATGCTCACCCAACTTACAGGATGTGCTGCCATTGGTGTTTTGATGCATGCAGCTCTCAGCGCTTAGTCTTCATCAGATAGGGGAGGTACTGTGGAATTTCTTTACCTGAAGAGTGGAATTCTCTGCCACAGAAAAGTGTCAAGGCCAAATCATTGAACGGTTTCAAATTAGATATCTTTCTTAGACCTAAAGAGATCAAAAGGTATGGGGCAAAAGCAGGAGCAGGGTACTGAGTTGGATGATCAGCCACTTTCATATTGAATAGTGGAGCAGGCTCAAAGAGCCATATGGCCTACTCCTGCTCCTATTTACTAAGTTTCTATGTTTCCGTGACACAGCATTAGGCAGTTTTGGAATAATCATCACTCAAATAATATGTTCACATATTACAAGATGTGTTAGTACCTTTAAACTGCTAAAGTTGTGCTTTTCCCCACTGGGACAATATTTTGAAGCTTGAAAATTGTCATCACCTCTCAGTGAGACTTGACAGTACAGGTTGATGTGATGGGGGAGTGGGAGAGTAAACCTGAAGAAATGGCTGGGGCCTGTGAGAACAGGGGACTGCCTGTCAGAGCAGATAAACTCAAACTCAAACACAGCAGCTATTGCCACATCATGACAGCACTTCTGATTACAAGAGCCACACCAGGGGTGATGGTATACCGGAGAGAAACCAGAATCAGATATTCTTGCTGTTGATATTCAGCCACTGTATTCTACACCCCTTCCAACAATTGGTGAATTAAGCAGTGTATGGAATCCTTTGTTCCCTCCACATCATTGGAATAATTTTAATACAGTACTTGGGAGTGAAAACACAGAAGATACAATATTTGGATAAGTAAACATTTTTATTACAGTTTTGTAATATTTTATCATCGTTTTATACATCAGGTAAATACTTCTACCTACTGCGCTTTCTGATCCACATTTATGACATTCTAATGTCATTCTACACTCAGATTGAAAAATTATTGGTCCAAAGTATTTTGGACTGGTGAGGTTGAACTAGAACGTACTTTATGGATCAACTGTGTACTGATTTCTAGCAGCTTACAGTGCAAGAGGATAAACATTTTGTGTAGCAAAACTGCATAGCGGAAGATTTAATACTTTGCCTTTCAATAGACTAAGTGACAATTAGATTTGGTAGTCCATAAAGGATGAAATTAAAAACAGTTTGCTGATTGTGTAATTCTTCTGAATGATTGCTTGTCTGTGAAGTAGGGTGTCTGGATAAGGAGTCATCTTCCACTGCAGGGAAGAAAAAGCATAGAGATCTTAAAAAATGTAACCAAGCACATTATCACAACTTAATTGAAATAGATTCACATTTACTCCCAATAAATATGTGGAAATAGATGGTAATTAAAATGCCTGGATCAACAGTTATTAGAAATACACTAAAATATCATTGATAATCATGGGATGATAAATACTGCATTAAAGATGTAACGATAAAATTCCATATGTTGGCAGTCCCCACTCCTTCAGCATCAACAGGATCCAGCCAAATCTACTGACATTCTGTGAGATGAGGTATAATGGACATTTGCAGGGCACCTGAGCTCACTTTGGAGGGACCCATTCTGGAGTTGGAGTCTGGAGACAAACATTAGAGGTTTTTTTTTTAAAGCAACACCTTGACACAGAAAGCTGTGTTGACATTATCTTCCAATTTCAGAGGGATGCAGACAATTTCACCCTACATTTCTTTTTTATGCGTGCTTCCACAGTGCTAATGGTGGCTTAGGGAGGGGCTACCCTGGACTCCACAAATATCTGTGCATTTTGGGGTCAAACTTTGAGTTTGCACTGAAACTCAAAGAAGCAGTTAATGCTGAGTCTTGAGATTCAATGAGTTACAGTAACACCGTTTACATTTTTTTAATCATGGCTTTTCTCTTCAGAGAAACACATTGATGCTTGGGTGCTCAGGTTTCTGGTCTGTGTGAACAGCAGGCAGGCACTTGAGATGAAATAGAACTCAACGAGTACCTACATATCCTGTGCAAATAAGACATCCTATCAATGCCATTGTCAATTCAATGTTTAAGGCACAATTATAGCACAACTTATTTAGTTCAGGCAATGTTGTTCTCTCAATGGCCTGGTTACCCTAAGCCATGACCTCCATGCTTTCTGCACCAACCCCTCCCCACTTTCTTTTCAAATTCAATAATCCAGTCGGCACTGTCTCCATTTGTTAACTCATTACCAGCATTGGACTGTTCTTTCAGGCATGACTTTATGAAAAATAATGAAAGTAACTAACTTGTGATGGATTCCTATAGTATGAGGCAAATGGGTTTCCAAGTATGTCCTTTGTGGATTAGATGCCCAATAGCCTTGTCCTGATCTCCCAGCGAAGCTGCCAACAGGATGGCAACAATGGGAGTTGCAGGAACAAGCAGTAAGTTAAATCATCAGGTACTTGTTCTGACTTTGTCTGTAATTGTCAGCAACTAGTTCTATCTGTGCATTGGAGAATAGGAAAATGCACATCATTGAGGTGAGATGAAGTGCTAATAGCATGCAAATAAATGCAAATAGACCTCTCGCCATTTACTAATGAGATTTACGTCAGGCCCTTCAGACTTGGTAGGTAAATTTGTTTTTTTCCTTAGGTGACCATTCTTATCGACTTGCCCTGCTACCTTCAGGGATCTGTGGAAGAGGACTCTAAGGTCTCTCATTGTTCATCTACACTTCTCAGAATCCTACCATTTATTGTGCAATCCCTCAGTTTATCTGTTCTCCATAAATGCATTACTTCATTTTTCTGGCTTAATGTTCATTGGCACTTGTTTTTCTGACCAAACAATCTATTGATATCTTACTGCAGTCAACAGTTTTCTTCCTTTCAGTTAATCACACAGCTAGTTTTCACAAGCTTCTTAATTATACTCCCAATATTTAAGCTGAAATTCATAACTATAACAAATCAGTACTGAGTCCTATGAAATCCCACTGGAAGCATCCAATCGCAATAACACCCATTGCCCACGAGGTTTGTTTTCTATCACTGAACCAATCAAATTGATTGCTTTCCCATAGATCTACAAGCTTTTACGTTTCTGAGCAGTCTGCCATGTGGGACCTTGCTAAAAACCATACCAAAATTCATGTATTATATTTCCTAAACACCTGTTCAGAGATGCTATATTATACCTCTAGAGTAGGTGCGACTCGAATCTGGGCCGGTCCCCAGCAGAATCTAGATTTGGGAGTCCTACTGTTTTTCTTTGAAGAAATCAATATATTTGTTCCGAACTGTCACCATCGCTTCCTTAAATGTTTCCAACGGCTCTGAAACTGATTAATCTTCAAGCAGCTATTTCCAGTTCAGTTTTGCAAAATCACATTTTAACTGAGTAACATTTGCCCTTCCCCAATTTAAAACTTTTACTTTTGATATATCTTTATCTTCTACCACAACGATTCTAGATCTAAATGTATTGTAATTATTGTTTCTAAAATATTCTTTCACTGATATCCCTTTCATCTGCCTAGCTTTATTCCTTGAAACTACATTCAGAACTATCCCTTCTCTTATTTGTCTCACTATATACTGCCTTAAAAAATTCCCAATGTATTTCAAGTATTCTGCATCCTCTATACCTTTCGAACTGATTTGCACCTAGTTAATATTATCTATAATTGCTGCTGTACAGGTTCTCGCTTCTGAACAATTTTCCTGACTGCTTTAGGGTCTATTGTACAGCTCCAGCAGTGTGGTTTTCCATTTTATTTTTGTTGCTTAGATCATTCCTAATACCTCATTTGAGACCTTTCTAGCATGTCCTGCCTCATAGCTACCATCATTTCTTCAAATAATATTGTAATTTCTTCTGCACTTTTATCCTCCTCTGTATTCTTATGTTGAGCTGCCACTCTGCCTTTTCCAGAGATATATTTGTTCCTTTTCCTTTTCCAGTGATATCATACATCCCAGTCTCTATTAGTGCTTTCAGCTCAGTTTGCTTGTTAGACTCCTTCCTTTGACGTATATGCCAGTAATCATTGAACAACTTCCTTTTACCTACTTTCTAGACTTTCTTTTCTTGACCTCCCATGTTCACTCTCAAATTTTCTGACTTGTTAAAATTTTGTTTCACCCCTTTCTGAATCTACAGTCAAGTTTCCATCCCTGTGCCAAGTTAGTTTAAACCGTTCCACCAGCACTAGCAAAACACCATATCGCAAGTCCTGGCCCTGTGAAAGTTCAACCTATAGAAATTGTATATTGATCCTATCTCCTCCTACACCAGTCCAGATGCCCCAGAAACCTAAAGTCTTCCCTCCCACATCATCTCCTCCGCCACATGTTCAGTCGCATGAGCCTCTGATTTCTGCACTCATCAGTTTTGTAAAGTAAGACAACAACTGCTTACATACCTAAAGCATCTGAATTCTTAGCAGGCAATTGATTATCATTTGCAGACTCATTTCCTGCTCCAGATTTGATTATTTCAAGAATTGTCTGGCCAGTTGTTTTGCCAACTTCCAACAAATCTAAAAACAAACATGATCATTAATGGTTAAAATCATCACTCGTAGTGTATTCATACGCTAACAATATTAACACGTCCAAAAATAAACTCAGTAATCAACATGGCTCATTAAAAGCTTATAATTTATAGTCAGTGAAACATTAGAAGTAGTTAACATACTCAGAATAATGCTTGACATTGGAAAATGCAATTCTTGGCACTAATATTTACATTTAATCTAAATGCAAACCAAGTAAGGGTGAGTGATTGCTTTTTGTCACATAATGTCAGGAATACCTTGTACATATTCATGCAGCGTAGTTTCAAAGTCATCCATGAAGTAAAAATAATGCAGTTCCTACTCTTAAACGTGTTAATAATATTGCTGTTTTTACTAAAATTGATAGAGACTTCTTTTCTTAAGAAATTTGTATAATTATCACACATAAATTTACTCTACTGGTTCCTCAGTGCACATAGGAATTTGATCATAACTTTTTTTATACATCTGTGGATTCTAGGAGCTGGTAAGGAATGCACTAGATTAGTTAGGCGAACAGTTTCGAGGAAGGGTGAACACTTGCAGAAAAACTCAGGGGGCCTGTTTTTAACCTTAAATACCCATCAGATGAGCTCAATTTCTCCATACCCACTGGAAACCTGCCAAGGACCACTGAACTTGGAAGGTGACTCAAATAGCACATGCAACTACTCAAAACAAGTGGGTTGCTCATTTATAAAGTAACTAGTAAAAAAAATTCATTCCCAATTTTAGCTGATGGAGAGAGAAGACTTGTTCAGCAGCAGATCCACTGAGTAAAATCTAAGAAAATAGCTTCATTAAATGGAGTGACATGGCTAGAAGCAGCATTTGATGGGAGACTCAATTGTAGGAGATCAGTTCATTTAGATCCATGTGCTGTTGTGATTGGAAGATTGCCAAGATAGTTCTGATCTTTGAATTTGTCTTTGTAGCATTTTTTGATTCCCTTGCCAAGGATATCAAGTGAGAAAATGCTACAAGTGGTTGTCGTGAAGGGAGTGTTGTAACGAAATACTGATATAGTATGCTTTTATGTGTGGTCATAACTAATGTAATGGAATAGAGGGAGTTTTCAGAATGCTTACAGGGGATAGGAGTTCAACAGAAAGGACTGTTGCTATGAATTGCTGGGAGAGCTGGAGAAAAGAAGACCTGCACTGTCACTATTCTTGAGATGGTTGAAGTCTTTCTGACAGGTCTTAACGGTGTTGCCTTGTAGCTGAGAATCTCTCTTCACATAAGGTAATCATCATGTCTCAGGATCTCCCTCTCACTGGCTGGAAGGAAAACTTCCCTTCTCACTCTGATCTATTCTAAGAGGACCTCCTAGGAGGCTGCAAATGAGCATGGGCTTCTACGTAATTTATCTTTGAGGAGTATCTTCCTCCACCATCAGCAACAAAATAAGCTAAAAGCTTTCAGAGATAGTAGGAACTGCCGATGTTGGAGAATCTGAGATAACAAGGTGTGGAGCTGGATGAACACAGCAGGCCAAGCAGCATCAGAGGACCCTCCCAGACCCGAAACATCAGCTTTCCTGCTCCTCTGATGCTGCTTGGCCTGCTGTGTTCATCCAGCTCTACACCTTGTTATCTAAGCTAAAAGCTTTACTAGGTCTCTAAAGGCTAGGAGGAAATTATATCCCTGGAGTGGACAATTTGAGATTTATAGCCGAATATAGTTCAGTTTCAAATATTATCATGTATTTGAGATTTATAAACACCTCAGAATCCAACTTACTGAAAAATGTTCTCAGAATTAAATTCAGAGGGATAACCAACTAATTTTCTATATTACACTTACAAAGAAATTTGACTGGCATTGCATTAAATTGTTAACTTCAGTCCCCATAGAGTTCACTATTTTGCAAATGTTCAAATAACTCAAAATCAAAGGACAGGACAATGGACAGAAGGGGTGGGTTGTCGTGTTAGTAAGAAATGAAATTAAATCGACAGCAAGAAGTGATGGAATCACAAGGTGTAGAATGTATGTAGATAGAGTTGAGGAACCGCTAAGGGAAAAAGACCCACCTTGACAGAAGTTGCATACAGGCCTAGCAGTAGTCAAGATATGGGGAAGAAAATAAATCAGGAGATAAGAAAGGCACTATTACAATAATCATAGGATCTTCAGTATGCAGGTGGACTGGGAAAATCAGGTTGGTAGCAGATCTCAACAAAAGGAATTCCTGCAATGTCTATGAGATGGGTTTTGGAGTAGCTTGTGGTTGAGCCCACTAGGGAGTAGGCAGTTCTGGATTTGGTGATGTGTAATGAGGCAGACGAATTAGGGAGCTTAAGGTGAAGGAACCTCTAGGGGGCAGTGATCATAATATGATAGAATTCACCCTGCACCTTGAGAGGGAAAAGTTGGAATCAGAGGTAACAGTATTACATTTGAGTAAAGGTAACTAAAAAGACAAGGGGGGTAGGGAGAGCTGGCCTGATTTGATTAGAAGGAGAGCCTGGCAGGGAAGATGGTAGAGCAGCAATGGCAGGAGTTTCTGGAGATAATTTGGGAGGCACAGCAGAAATTCATCCCAAGAGGAGGATGAGGCAACCATGCCTGACAAGGGCAGTCAGGAAGATCATAAAAGCAAAAGAAAAAGCATACTATGTGAAAATTAAATGGCAACCCAGAAGATTAATATAGACTTGGGTAGTGCTTTGGAACAGATGGACCTAGGGGTTCAGTTACATAATTCTTTGAAGTTTGCATCATGTATAGCCAGGATGGTTAAAAAAGGCATTTAGCACGCAGGCCTTCATTGAGTACAGGAGTTGGGAAGTTATGCTCAGGTTGTACAGGACATTGGAGAGACCTCTTCTGGAATACTGTGTCCAGTTCTGGTCACCCTGTTATAGGAAGGATATTATTAAGCTGGAGAGGGTTCAGAAAAGATTCACCAGGACATTGCTGGATATGGAAGGTTTGAGTTATAAAGAAAGGCTGGATAAGCTGGGACCTTTTTCATTGGAGTGTAGGGGGTTGAGTGGCAACCTTATAGAAGTTTATAAAGTAATGAGAGGATTAGACAGAGTTAATGGCACTTGCCTTTTACCTAGTATGGGGGAATTTCAAGACTGGATGGCATATTTTTAAGGAGTTTGGAGAGAGATTTAAAAAAGACACGAGGGGCAAAATTTTTACACAAACGGTAGTTTGCATGTGGAATGAACTTCCTGACGAAGTGGTAAATGTGTGTACAATCACAACGTTTAAAAGATATTTGGATAAGTACATGAATAGAAAAGGTTTGCAGGGATATGGACCAGGAGCAGGCAGGTAGGACTAGTTTAGTTTGGGATTATGTTCGGCATGGACTGGGTGGACTGAAGAGTCTGTTTCCGTGCTGTATGGCTCTATGATTGGGAAGCCTTTAAAAACCAACAGAGGATAATTTAAACAAAAAATGTGGGGTAAAATGAAATGAGAATAAGCTAGAAAGTAATATTAAAGAAGACTGCAAGAGTTTTTTTTTGAAATTTGAAATGTAGGAGAGACAAGAAAGAACATTGGATAGCTGGAAACTGAGACGGGAAAAGTTGTAACAGGGAACAAAGAAATGGGGGAGGGACTGAATAGGTACTTTGCATCAATTTTCACAGTGGAAGACACCAGCAGCATACTAGAACTTCAAGAGAGCCAGGGGCAGAGGTGAGGCTAGGTTACTCAATATATTTAAAACAAAGCGAGATTCTTGATTAGTAAGGGGATCTAGGGTTATGGGGAGAAGGTAGGGGAATACGTTTCTCAACCCTAGCTATGACTGATTGGCAGAGGAGACTCAATGTGCTGAATAACCTAATTCTGCTCCTATATCTTATGGTCTTATGATGGGAAGGACTATCACTGAGATGGCATGTGCTGATAGCCAAAATGCTATGGGCTTATTATTGGGCAGTTGAGGTTGTAGTGGGCCAGTAATTAGAATCCTTGGAATACTAGATTGCTGGCATGACGCACTTTATGAAAATGTCTCAGGATTGCAACCTCCCCAGTTGTCTATAACACCTAAATTCTGAGGCCCTCCAAGTGGTCCAGGAAGTTGATCCGAATGTTCCAGCTTCTTTTCTGAGTCCTATTCACCATCCTCGTGTAAGGATGCCTTATAATCCATGATGTCTTCTACGGCCAGAACTTGTCCCCCCTACCGCTTGAATTTGTGCAAGTTGTAGCAGATATTCACAATTAGCGGGAGTCTGACTGGTGCATACTGCAGAATGCTACCTGATTAGTCCAACCATCTAAATCTCACTTAAACAAATGTCTGTTCTTCTCAACATTGAAACAAGGGTTCCTCACCAGTTTTATCAGCCAACTATTCAGTAGATACCTTAGTAAACTGAGAATGTATTCTGCTCATGGGATAGAGCTCATACAACTGCAGGATCCATTGTGGACCATATGACCATTAAAGGAGTGAAATCCCTTGCAATTCAGGAGTGCTTCTGCCTGGCCACTGGAACCCTGGTGACCACATGTGGTAGTCAATAATTTCTTGGACTTTGGGCAATCCAGTCATGCCTCCAGAGTCTACGGATCTATCGGATTGATGTCCACAACCATTGTAAGCTTGATGTTGCTGCTGGTGCCTGGGAGATGCTGCATGTGTCTCCACTTGTAGCATGGATCAAGTCTGAGATGAAGATATTCAGGTCCACTAACCTTAAGAGCCACCAGCATCTATGCAAGCAATTGGAATTGACCTATACCACCAGGTTGCATTGAATTGTCAACTGTCTCTCTGAACTGCAGTTGCTGTACTCACCGACACCCTAACAAATGCGAGGCACAATAACTTTAATCAGATGGCAAAGGGGGGTTTTTCATTTCACTCGCAATGTCCCATCCATGATGCTATTTCTTGGTATGATGACTTTAGAAGATGTCATAACACGCTATTGTACACCCCTGCCCCACCAGAGGCCACCTGTTTTGACACTAAGTCACAGCCTCTGACTGAAAACCAAAGGCCATGGATAAAATTTATTCTTTGTTCATTTTCATCAAAATTGATGCATTTTATAGATCAAAAAAACGAATTTTTATTCATGTCATTAAATTTAGGAAGAAATATTTCAAAGTTGGGTATGGAAGGAATTCATATCCACAATTTATTGAGTTGAAACAACTCAAGCTCTCTTTATGTAAGACTTTTATAGTTAGCAGAGACAAGAGACAATGTCTTTGCATCTCCAGTGAATAAGGTGCCAGTTCTCAAGTGTAGTCTTAGATAGTCTGCTGCTTTAACTTGGCTGTGTGAAGGGGACAGGGGAATGAAAGATCACGTTTGTTGAAATTAACAGTATACTTCATTCCAGTAAGATGAGAGATCAAACATCAGATTTAAAGCAGGTATTAGGAACTTGCGTCTAAATGTGGATAGTGTATACATAAATATTCGGGACTTCTGAAGCCAGAGGCTAGTGCCAATAGATCAACACTCCCAGTTGCTGCCGAATGCCTACACAGAACAGCAATGACCAATGCTAATCAAATGCCCATGTTTCTCCTGGCTTGCAGCTGCAGTGGGGCAATTTGAAAATAGTTCCAATCATGATGTTTTTTCAAAGAACACAATTCAAACACCTGATTGCAGGGTGGACACAAATGAGATGGAAAAGCGTCATTCCAGTGGTACTAAGATTGTATTCAAGATACGGGGACATAGTTCTGAAAAAATTCTTAAATCTATTTTCATTAGAGTTAAGAATATTGATAAACCTATAAGAGTTATTCAAAAGTAGAAGAATTAAAGGAAATATGCTAAGAACTTCACACAATATGACAGAATTAAAGAAGATTTTATGAACCAAGCTTCACATAAAGTATAGGAGTCGGGAGCTGTGCCTTTTTTTATTACATGGAATTAGCTTTGCTTAAAAATGGAATATTAAAGGTTGTGCAAAATAATTGTAATGCTTACTTTTTGCAAGTTTATTAAATGTTTTGGCATTGTCGTGAAGTGTACTATGCCATTGATTCATCATAATGGAGCGAACTCCAGTCAGGCTTAGGAGTATTGCTGCATCCATTTGTTTCTCTATTGACAACTGCATTGCACTACAAAAAATTGAAGAAAAATTGAATTAGAAAATACATGGATAATGACATAGTGAGGGAAAAAGTCTTTTTAGACCAAGGAGAGCAAACTGTTCACAATAATTCCTCTTAACTGTCCAAGCAAACGTTGCATGCTGCTCCGGCGGCAATCTTTATGTTGTTATTACTGAAAATTAAAATAGTTTATAATGCACCTCTAGTTGTGCCTCAATATCCTTCATGCTATCATTGACAAGTGAAACCATTCTCCCACATCCCCAGCCAGCAATTGATAAATCAGTCCATGATTAAATTTTACTGAAGATCTTTGTGGTGCTTCTTAATTCAACAGCTTCGGGCAATTACTGATAAGGCAAGGCAGGATCTGTCTACGGTAAGCTTGCCACTTGCATAATTAAAGGATTCAATCTGGAAAACTGTGTCAGAATAATGTTGAGTAAGATGCATGTAGAATTGGTTGTAGATGCTCATTGTTCTGTATATTCCAAACTGCAACAATGGCATCTATTTGACAATCTAGGATAATCATCCTGATATGTCCCATACACAAAGCAGGACAAATCCACAAAGCTAATTACTGCTGGAGAAAAAGCATGAGATTGGCGAGAGGTAGTGATGCTCGTTTGAAGAGCCGGTGATGAATGGCCTCCTTCTGCACTGTAAGACTCCTGTGATTCTTCCCCATTGCCCTACTTCTGCTCATCTAAAGTGATGGAAGGGGTCATCACAAGTTCTATCAAGCATACTTGCTTGGCAATAATCTCATCGGGGAAGGCAATGGCCTAGCTGTATTATCGCTGGACTGCTAATCCAGAGACCCAGACAATGTTCTGGGGACCCAGGTCTGAATCCCACCACGGCACATGGTGGAATTTGAATTCAATAAAATATCTGGAATTAAGAATCTGAAGATGACCATGAATCCATTGCCGATTGTCAGAAAAACCACGTTCCATCTGGTTCACTAATGTCCTTTAAGGAAGGAAATTGCCATCCTTAGCCGGTTTGGCCTACATTTGACTCCAGATCCACAGCAATTTGGTTGACCCTGAACTGCCCTCTGGGATTAGGGATGAGCAATAAATGCTGCCTAGCCAGCAATGCCCTCATCTCATAAATATAGGAAAAAAAAATCTGCTTGCTGATGCTCAGTTTGGGTTCCTTCAGGGTCACTTAGCTCTTGACCTCAGCACAGCCTTAATCCAAACAAAGGAGCTGAATTCCTGTGGTGAGGTGACAGTGGCTTCCCTTGACATCAGGACCACATTTGACAGAGTGTGGCATCAAGGATTACAAACATAACTGGAGTCAGTCGGAATTGGGGGGAAATTCTCTGCTGGTTGTAATTATAGCTAGTACAAAGGAACATGATTATGGTTATTGGAAGTCAGTCAATTCATCTCCAGAACATCTTTTCAGGAGCTCCTCAGGGTCGTATCCTGGGCTAACCATCGTTGTCTGCTGCATCAATAACCTTCTCACCATCGTAAGTTCAGAAGTGGGGATATTTACTGGTGATTGCATAACGTTCAGCACCATTGGCTCAGATATGAAGCAGCTCCTGTCCAAATGCAACAAGTCTTGCAACATCTCCAGGTTTGAATTGACAAGTATTATGTGACATTCTTGCCACACAACTGCCAGACAATAATCATCTCCAATAAGACCAAATCAAACCATCACTCCTTAACATTCAACAGTATTAGCATTGCTGAATCCCCCACTATCAATATCCTGGTATTTCCATTAACCAGACATTGAACTGGACGAGCCATATAAGTACTGTGGCTACAAGAACAGATCAGAGCCTGGGAATCCTACAGCAAATAACTCACCTCCTGACTGACCAAAGTCTGTCTATCATCTGCATGGCACAGTTCAGGACTGCAATGGAATACTTCCCATTTGTCTAAATGAGTCCAGCTCCAAAATCACTCAAGAAGCTCTACACCATTCAGGATAAATCAGTCTGTTTGGTTTCCTCCATCAATGATTCCAACAGCAGCAGCATGTACTATCCACAAGAAGCACTGCAGATATTCACCAAAGCACCTTCCAAACCCACAACCACTTTTATTGAGGAGGACAGTGGTAGCAAATACATGGGAACACTGCTGCCTGCAAATTCCTTTCCAAGAAATATATCGCTGTTCCTTCAGTGTGACTGGGCCAAAATGCTGGAATTTCCGCCCTAACAGCATTGTGGAGTACCTACAGCAAATGGACTGTCTTGGTTCAAGAACACAGCTCACAGCCAGCTGCTTGAAGACAACTAGGAATGGGCAATAAATGCTGGTTCAGCTGATGATGCCCAGATCCCATGAATGAATAAGTTAAAAAGAACAAAGACTGAAATTGGCAGAGTTTTGGTCTCAGAAAATCAATGGATTTGGGTAGAAAAGTTCAGTTGAGGTAGTTCAGCCATGATTGTACTGAATGGCAGAATAGCTCAAGGAGCTAAAGTGTTTACTATGCTCTTGTCTTGCCTTTGGTAGTAGATTAAATTTCAGGCAGTTAGTGTTGATCATTTAACTGTAGCTACTAGTCTACGTAAAATTGAGGCTTTGTTTCTGATGGGGAAAGGAGGTTGCACACAGCCTCCAGTAAATTTGCATTTTAAAAAATGCAATGCATAAACATTCCAAATGACACATGTTAGTGCAATTCTATTCACGTTTAAGAAACATAGACAACTTTTTTAACTACGTCAAATTTTCAAATGCATTACCTCTTTGGTCTGTCCAGAATGGACTGATGACGAAAACTTTGACATGTTTGAGCCAGATCCAGAATAATCATTAACTGGCATTCTAGGTAAACAGAAGTGACATGATACAAGTCAAACTATAAGTTGTTAAAATGCTGAAAGTTAAATGTATGTTTTATTATACAATCTGTTAGTCGTTTTATTCTTTCTTATACTACCAGTGCCTATGCTCACAAATACAATCTACGCCAATACTAGACCTTACAGTTTCAGTCTCTCTTAGTTAAATTGCAAAGTGGGAAATGATGTTGTTCTATGCTGATATGATGAGCAGAACCTTTGTTTTGGGATAGTGACCCTGATGTTATGCAAATTGCTAGATCCCCACCTTGTCTCGTATCAGTATCAGATAGCCAATGCGGTTTCTGTTGGGACAGTCTATCTGATGTCAGACATTACATTTACTGTCTAGTTGAGGATAAGTGGGCAAGCTCCCAAAATCAAAGGATCAATAGGAGGGCCTCCACCATTGACTAAATTGCAGCCTCACCTTCTGGAAGTGGTAGTTGCCAATGCCTGTAAAAGAAAGGACACCTCCAGGGGTATTAAAAAAAAACATAAATATGACAAAACTGCTTGGGTATCATTATGAAGGAGCAGCCCCTTAACTGAACAAACAACGGCTACAGTTGTGGTCCAACTGTTAGTAAGGGGCATTCCTAGTGGGATGGAGGGTAGCTGCTTCATTCACCCTCTGGTTGGTTTTGTCTTCAGTGGTGAGCCTGGAAGCTCTGGAACATTCCAACGTTTCAGGCAAGAACATGCCAGCAACTGGAGACTCTCTATCAATTTTTTGGCTTTCCTATCTTAGTCTTGCCACTAAAAGGAATTGAAAATTCTACTCTATGAATTCCACAAGAAACATAACCCATGTACAATATCACTTCAGTGATTCAAGCAAAGATGCAGCTGAGGAAACTGCATCAGTCACATGGGAACTTCAGTGGAAGTCAGTGAAATTGCACAGGAAAATCTCAATATACAAGATTTTAAAGGGACTTGAGAGGGTGGATGCTGAAAGGTTGCGTCCACTTTTTGAAGGGTGTAGGACCAGAGGGCATAATCTCAGAATCTCAGAATAAGGCAGATTCATATTTAAGACAGAGATGAGGAGGAATTTCTTCTCTGAGGGTTGTTAATCTGAGGAATTCTTTACCACAGAAGATGGTTGAGGCTGAAACATTAAGTATATTCAAGGCTAAGATAGACAACTTTTTAATCAGTAAGGGAGTCAAACATTATAGGGATAAGGCACAAAGTAGAGTTGAGGATTACTAGTTCAACTAGGATCTCATTGATTGGTAGAGCAGGCCTGATGGGCTCTTACGTCGTCTGGTCTCAAATATTTATCAGAGAGAGAGAACTGCATGAGCTCCTGATAATGTTCTTGGTGGTAGTTGAAGTCATGGGGCTGAATTTTATCAAAATGCAAGAAGTTCCAATGACCAAATCAGTGGGCAGCAGGACATAATTGTGAATTTGGCCTCTAGTTTCCAAATAAGTGCCAGAAAGTGTGGGAGCCAATCAATAACGAGTGAAGCTGCTGAAATGGGTGCACCATATTTAAAGGGAAGGCAGCACTTACAACACTGGTATTGTAAAGGGAAGGGAACTGAAAGAGGGGTTCTAACTAAAGGAGGCTATGTCAGGGTGGTTGGATTTACAGAAAGGTGGTTGCAAGATTTAGCAATGCCTCTCTGGCAGTGCTTCTGAAGGCAGCAAGTGCATGTTGGTAAGAGAGAGAGGTGCTCTTTCCAGTTGACTGAAGGGGAAGTCTAGCAAGCTTTACCAAGAGGCCTTGCTGGAAGTCACATAGGGAATCAACTGCCAAGGAGCGGAACTTTAAAGGAGAAGCCACTATCTGAGACAGTGTCACATCATTCTAACAGACCCTCTCCAGCAGAGACAGTCTCAGGTCAGTGGGCATTAGTTAGAAAAGGTGGAACCAGCTGGTGAGAATGGCACAGAAGTGTGCATGCAAGCATTCAAAGGAGAAACAGAGAGATGCAGTCAAGGAGTGGGGAATACTTCAGTGACATTGAGTTTCTTGTAGATTGCAGTTCCTGGAGTTTTCATCAAAGTGGCAGGTGCTGTAACAAGGGCATGACATGCGTAGGCATCTGTCAAGCCTTCCACATGCACACACAAAGGAGTAGTGGCACCCACCTCTCTGGCTTGAGTGCAAGGCCTTCTCCATTGAGAGAATGACGACCAACATGTAACATTACATCCAATGGATACATGAGATGTGAGTATGTGCTGGCCTACACACAACTGCCTCAGCACGGAACTCTGTGGAGGAATGCATCTAAAAGATGGACACAAAATACCTTGACCCATTCTCATGCACTCAACATGCAGCAAGGGCAGTGGACCTTGCTAAGGTGGCAGAACAGGTGTGTGAAGCTCATGGGTACTCCTTTCAAAGTGCTAGTCGTGTTGATGATGGCTCAACAACATTGCATCAAGCCATGACAACAGAAGCAGCTCCTGCACAGGTAGGGTGGACCTATGTTTTACCATTCTAGGTTTTAGGCATCCAAAGGACATCCAACAATGTCATCTGAAGCCACAAAGCAGAAAAGCTAGCAGACTGTCTCCACTTCAGCTGCATGTGCTGGATACCACAAAGTATAACCACTTGCAAGTGTTCATGTAAATCCAGATGACTACACCTTGGTTCAAACACTAAATGATATTTTGATGTGTAATATGAAAAATTTGTAATAATATATCAAACAAAAAGTCTTGCTTTGCATTAGATATCATCTTGATTGCTCATTTCAGCATTAGTGGGCTGTTCTGAGCTGGTGCTGTCTTGGGAAAGAGGTGATGAATAGGTCTGAATTGGAAATGGGTAACGGTGCACAAATGCCCTAGCTTAAGGTCATGATGGTCTGATTAGCAGGGACGAGAGAGGTCAAAACAAAAATAATTTAAAAACCTACTATGACAAAGCATCATGAATGCATTGTCATGCAAAGCAGCCAATTCACAGCTGTCTGAGGGACCGGAAAATTTTAGCAATTTTTATGGACTATTGGTGACATACAAATGCTTCTAGTCAGTTTGAGTTAAAAGAATGAGGCTGAACTGTTGCAGATGTGTTCAGCAAAATGTACATTACCTCAACTGGAGGTCCCCATTACTGTTCCTGATTTATTTACAAACAAAATGATCAGTGAAAGCAAAAAGGCATGATAGTATTTTAAATGGTATCATAATTGTACAAGAGAACTGGATACGGAGAGAAACTTTTCCTCAGGATAAATTTATTGAACTGATATTTTTTCTTCTGATATTCAGTCCATTATCTCAAAGTGCACCTTTTGGGATAAGGTGTTACATATAGAATATGCAAGCCTTCTGTGCCATGCATCTTAACATGCCCTGCCAGAATTTAAACTAGCATGGATAGGAGAGATCCTTGTCCTACATAATTTCTTTTGTATAAAGCAACTAGAAAGAAATCACATGTTACAATCAGAACTTTCTGTTAAAACGTTTGAACTGTAACTGACATGAGAAGAATTCTAAGAAATTTTAATCATACAACTCAGTATAACAAGACTAACTGTACCTGGAAGATTCATGGTAATGATTTTTGAAGGTAATACATTTGCAAGAAAACGCTCTGTTCCATAAAAGACAAATGCATTGCAACTTTTTAGCATTTCTTCCCAATCTGCATGACTGAAAGAAGTAAAATACTATTGATTACTCAATTGGAAAATTAAAATGCAAAACTTGAAAGGTAAGAGTTAACAGGAATTCAGAAAATAGTTATAATGCAACTCGCTAAACCAAATATTTACTGTACCTCGTCAGGAAGAATGTGTCTAATTTTGGAGGATAATATATTACACTCAACACTCATACTTTACCAAATATTCCTACTGAAAAAGCCATAGGCTGCAATCAACTTTTCTTTAAGAATTCAGAAAGTTAATCTCATTGCCAGACCTTGCACAAATGAAGAGTGGTAATCAGTATAATCTTTTATTCATTAGAAAAGTGATGGAAGGGATTGTTCAAAGTACTATCAAGCAGCATTTACTTAGCAATAACTGCCTCACTGATGCTTAGTTTGGGTTTCTCAAGGACCACTCAGCTTCAGATCTCACGACGCTCCAATCATAGACAAAACAGCTCAACTCAGGAGGTAAGGTGAGAGTGACATCAAGGCTGCATTTGACCAAATGTAGCACAAGGAGCCCTGGCAAAATTGAAGTCAATGTAAACTTACCAACCTCTAATGCTAAGTAGATTTTTAAAACATGCTCCTAAAAATGCGGTCTGAATCTTCTACACAGTGACAATACCAAGCGCAGTGCCTTGGCACACAAAAATTCTCTCCAACTGACACAGACATTTTTCTGGGATCTTTTCGGGGGACAACTTCTCCATTCATTGGAATCACATCTAGCACAAAGGAAGATGGCTGTGGTTGTTGAAGACCAATCATTCCGTCCCAGAGCATCCCTCCAAGAGTTCCTTAGCAGAGGGGCCTTAGACCAACAATGTTCAGCTGCTGCATCAATGATGGAATACAATTCTCCATCATAAGGTGAGCAGTAGCAATGTCTGTAGATCACTGCACAATATTCACACTGTTTGAGACTCCTCAGGTACCACAGCATATGCAGCAAAACTGGAGCAACGTTCATGCTTGACCTAATAAGTGGCAAGTAACACAAGTACTGGACAATTAACACCTCAGAGAATCTAACCTTCATCACTTAGAATTCAATGGCATGGCCAATTGTTAAATCAGCATAAGGGGCATTACCATTGACCAGAAGCTGAACTGGGCTGGTTACAGAAATACTGTGATTACAAGAACAGGTCAGAGGCTTGGAATTCCGTGGTGAGTAACTATCTCCTGACTCCCAAAAGTTTGGTCACTGTCCTCAATGCACAAGTCAGGGGTGTGATGAAATATTCTCCATTTGCCTCAATGAATGCGAATTTAACAACACTCTCTAGAAGCTTGACAGCATCCAGAACAAAACCACTAACTTGATTAGCATATATACACAAACATTTTAAACATTAATTCCTCCCAGTACTGAATTACAATGGCAGCCGTGCATACCATCTACAACATGCACTGCTGCAGCTTACCAAGTAGCTCCTAAACACACAACTCTTACCATCTAAATGGATAAGGGCCAATGCTTCATAAGAACTTTACCATCTGCAAATTCTCTGGCAAGCCATTCACTATCTTTGGTGTTGGAGGAAGACAGGACATACTCACTCCCCCCAAACCCTTTGGCAACAAAAGTGAATGAATGTGATGGGTAGTTGCATGATAGATGGATTAGGTAGACGAAGTGGACGGCTGGATTATTGGGTAGGTGGGTGAAAGAGGCGAGATGGTACTGGGCATCACGATTTTAAATTGTCTAACATTGTCCAGCTAACTATCCAGGTAAGTCCTGTGTAGCTGTTAAAAATATGCTTTCTGCAGCAAATAATTTGCATCAAATGCAATAGTAACTACAAAGGCAAATAACATGGAAAGGAACAAGCAACAGAGCAGAATTGAAAATGTAATTGAGCATTCTTTTGGGACACTCACCTTCATTATTGCACCTTTTGACAAAACTCAAAAAAATTAAACAACTCAACATACCTTGGGACATATTCAATACCCATGATTCCATGCCAGTGTGCTGTGAACTGTGAAGAATATTTTTCTATAATGTCTGTCATTACTTTCACAGGACTGAATGCTCCTAAAAAACATAGCAATTTAGCTGAGTATAGTCCAATTCTAATTATTTTTTAATAGTGTGTTTAATAATTTTCAGATCACAGTACTCAATTTGATTCATGCAGACATACAAGTAGTTCATCTTAAATATAAGATTATTTCAGTAATTATAGATACTATAGGTAAAGATTGGTGCAGACAATTTCTTGTGACTCAACTTTTAGGAAAAAAAAACTATTTCTAAACAATCTCAAGCACAGCTACCCAATTAAATAATACAACAACATGCTTCAGCCTCAAGCTTAAAAGAACACTGGGACTATGTCAATTTGACAGGCTTCTATTTTCTACTGTCTTTCAATTGTTCTTTATGGATGATGGCTACACAAGTGAAAGTAGATCTTCCCAACTAAATATTAGATAACATAGAAAGTTTACTCAGAATGATCCAGAATTCAGTGCTTTTACTATATTCTTTTTTATTGGAAATTCCAGCATTTTCAGTTATTTCAGACTGACATCATGAACAAAGACATTTTAAGCTGTTCTTACTCATCCCCTGTGGCTTCTGGTGTATACTCATTTTCGGCTGTAATATGGCCTCTTGTGTACAGCAGACTGGTCTACTTACATGACTATCCCTTGTTTTTTGCAGCCAAGATAAAATTCATACCCATTTAGGCTGAAATGAATGAAACTTTAATCTAATTAACTAACACTTTTCTTAATAGTTATAACTTATTTTTGTATTAAATGTGTCGAGTACTGGTCTGAACACTTCAGGCACTACGGTCCACTTAGTTTAAAAACCAATTAAATCTCAATTAAGTACTCTTAGAGAACATCTGCAAATAAACTTGAGGTAATAAGAACCACCTCAAAACATTCCAACATTAACTGACATTTAACTAATTCGTTAATAGTTATAATAGTTATATTATTTCCAAAGAAGGACCTAAGTAGTACCCTAAAAACACAGGGAAAGTTATCAGCTAAACATTTTAACTGTACTTTATTAGAAAGCTCATAAGAAAAACCAAAGGAAATCAACAACTAACACATTTGACTGCTTCACTAAATGTTTTTGTCAGGATTTCAAATTATGATGGATGTGATCAGATGTGGGGTTCCTCTGTTGCTTTGAAACCCAACATACCAGACTTGCATGTGAATGCACATTTAAATTCTCCTTACCCGAGTCACTAGTTTCATCATAAGGATCTACAATATCTGACAAATCCAATTAAGGTTAAATAGGAGAGGACACTTCCACTTCCACCCAACAGCTTACATCAATCTGCTTGCAGGATATTGGACACTGTCTTCCCAGATGTCCAATAAGCTCAGGTATTCTAGCAGCAGTGTGAACATGTCAAATTTTTGTTGCCAGTGTTTTAGTAATCATATCATTTCAAATGTTAAAATTAATCATCTTAGTTGTGAAAAAGAAATTACAGGATGATGTTTCATTCTGCTTTGGATGCTATTTTAGAAAACTCAGGGCAAATGGGATCTCCTTTAGCCAGAGTGTTATAAGTAAATTTGACCATCAGTCACCCAAAACAATTGGAACAAATGGAATAAAGGAAACAATTGAATCTATAATTTTTTTTAATCAAACTTTAGAAAAGGCATGAAAGTGAGGAAAGAAAAAACACTTTTATTTGAAGTCTTTTGAGATGAAGAAGTCCAACTGTCTTAAAATAATGGCAACCTGGTAAAATATTGTCCCCAGCTGGAGTCATACTTGGTACAAAGAAGAAAGGCTGTGTTCGTAAGAAGCTAATCAGCTCAGAACATCAGTACAGAAGTCCCTTAGGGCAGTGTCCTTGCCCTGCAAATCTTAGATGCTTCATCAATTACTTTCTCCCAATCATAAGATCAGAAATGAAAACATTTGTTGATCATTGCACAAGTGTGTTCATATGCAAGACTTTGTTGATAATTCAACCTCGTATTTGTGCCGCACAAGTTCCAGAGTCATGAGTCACACAGCACAGAAACAGACCCTTCGGTCCAACGAGTCCATGCCAAACATAATCCTAAACTAGACTAGTCCCAGCTGCCTGCTCCTGTTCCGTGTCCCTCCAAACCTTTCCTATTCATGTATCCATCCAAATGTCTTTCAAACATTGTAATTGTATCTGCATCCACCACTTTGTCAGGAAGTTCATTCCACACACGAAACACCTTCTGTGTAAAACATTTGCCTCTTATGTCTTTTTAAAAATTCTCTCCTCTCACCTTAAAATGTGCCCTCTACTCTTGAAATTCCCCATTTTAGGGAAAAGACAATTACCATCAACTCTCTCTATACCTCTCATTATTTTATGAACTTCTATCAAGTCACATCTCAACTTCCAGCCTTTCTTGCTAATTCAAACCTTCCATACCTGGTAACATCCTGACAAATCTCTTTTGAACCCCCTCCAGCTTGATAATATCCTTCCTATAACAGGGCGACCAGAACTGGACACATTATTCCAGACGAGGCCTCACCAATGTCCTGTATAACCTCAACATAACATTCTAACTCCTATACTCAAAGGACTGAGCAATGAAGGCAAGCATGCCAAACATCTTTATAACCCTCCTGTCTATATGTGATGAAAATTTTAAAGAATTATGTACTTGCGCTCCTAGGGCCCTCTGTTCTACAACACTACCCAAGATACTACCATTAATCATATAAGTCCTACCCTTGTTGTTGTTCCAAAATGCAAAACCTTGTATTTATCCAGATTGAACTCCATCTGCCATTTTTCAGCCCACTGACCCATTTGATCAAGATTCCTTGTAATCTTAGAATATCTTCTTCACTGTCTACAATGTCACCAATTTTGGTGTCATCTGCAAACTTACTATCCATGCTTTCTATATTCTCATCCAAATCATTTATATAAATGACAACAAAAGAGGACCCAGAACAGATCCCTGTGGAACACCGCTGGTCACAGGCCTCCAGTCGGAAAAGCAATCCTCTATTGTTACTCTCTGTCTCCTGCCATTAAGCCAATTGTGTATCCAATTGACAAGCTCACCTTGAATCCCATGTGACCGAGGCAAGGAATAGCTCCAACAACAGAGAAAGTCTAAAGTTTTAGCAAAGATTTGTAGCTTGTGTTGTGGGTGAAGTTGTTGACTTGCTCACCGAGCTGGCTTGTTTTCGTTCAGATGTTTTGTCACCATGCCAGGTAACATCATCAGTGAGGCCTTTGATTAAGTGATGTTATTCTACTCTGCTTGGACTTTATACTGGCTGGTCCAATATGGTGAGTAGTATCATTTCCGGTTTTGATCTATATGGGTTTGTATATGGGGTCCAATTCTATATGTTCTACACTTGTAATGCAATTAACAAACATATAGAATTGGACCCCATATACAAACCCATGCAGATCAAAACCGGAAATGACACCACTCACTGTAATGGACCAGACAGTATAAATTCCAAGTGGACTAGAACAACATCGCTTCATAGGATGCCTCACTGACGATGTTACCTAGCATGGTGACGAAACGTCTGAATGAAAACAAGCCAGCTTGGCAAGCAAGTCAATAACCTCACAGAGAGAGTCTAGAATATCACCTTGATGTTCAAATGCATTACGTTATCAAATCTCCCACAATCAACATCCTGAGAGTCACCATTAACCAGAACCTTAACTGAATCAGTTATATAAATAATGCAACAGAAGATAAGAAGCTGAACTCCGTAATGAATCACTCACTGTTTGACCCACAAGTCAAATCATTGGGCATAATTGACGAATTTGATTGAATAATATCCATTTCGCTGGTGAATGCAATAGCAACAATATCAGGAAACTCAAACTTAACTGGAAGAACCACACACTGGTTTGGCATTTCGTTCACTACCTGAACAATTTACTCCCTCCACTACTTGAACACTATTACTGCAGAGGTGCTAGGATAACTCACCAATATTTATTTGATCTCCAACACTTTGTAAGGAGAGGGTAGCAGGCACTTGGGGACCTCATTATGATAATTGACACAGTTCTTCTGAAGTCTGGGTCACATTATGAATCTTATAGTATATGTGAATTTTATTACCCCACACCAGACTCACTAGTTTTGTGTGCTGGCTTGGGCTTTTCCAAAGCCCTAAAAACCTGCCTCAGTGGCAAGTTTGTGACCACTCGGGAAGGCCTACTGAGGAATCAGGAATATTCTGACAGGCAAATGTTAAAGGCTTTGTAAAATTTATATGTCACTATTATATACTATATTGTAATATAAATTATTGTAACAGCTGTTATTCTGATTTATCATTTCATTCTGTCCTGAAAATTTAAGTTGACCATTACATTGACCAGTATTATCTACATAATGTGAGGTGTTCCAGGCCAGACCTCCAAATTTGTTTCCAGTTCTGGATAAGACACTCAAATTTTGTTATCATCTGGTTAAGTATGGCTTAGATTTTTATTACAGTAGATGAAATTTGAAGTTTGAATATTGAGAGAATAAAACCACAAGATAGTTTTGAACAGCTGAGTTTTTACAATTTAAAAGTTATCAATGCCAACATTCTTATACTCTAATATCCCAAAATAACAAGAGGCAAACATGAATTAACAAGCATTCCAAGTCATGTTTATTCAATGTGCAAATACATTTTTTCTCACAAGAACATAAGAGCAGGATTAGATCATCTGGCCTCTTAAGCTTATTCCACCATTTAATAAGATCGTGGGTGATTTGACTGTAGTTGAAAACAAGCTGAATGACTTTGACAGTAAGGTATATCTTATCAGCAACGTGATTTTGATATTGCAATATCAAGTCCACCTACAGCGCCAGGTGAATTTCCAGCCATACTGTCTGGATGATTAACCAAAGGGAAAAATGTTGAGATTTTCAGCCATGTAATTAGAATTGCAACCTTCATGCCCATGTCTTAGAAATAACATCCCTAATCAATGTCATCACAAGTTACAGAATAACTAACTTTAAATAGAGTGACAGCAAATGTGTTCAAAATATGAATTATAAAGGATAAAAAGCCTACTGTTTTTAACATACTTTTGGAAGTAAGCCTGTAAAACATAGATACATAATTAGGCCATTTGGTCCATCGAGTCTGCTTGGACATTCAAGCATGGTTGATATGTTTCTCAACCCCATTCTCCTGCCTTCTCGTTGTAATACTCAATCCCATTGCTAATGAGAAACTTATCTATCTCTCTTAAATTCACTCCTTGACTTGGCCTCCACAGCCTTCTGTGAAAAACAGTTACATTGAACAACCACCCTTTCATTGAAGAAATTCTACCTCATCTCAGTTCTGAAGAATCCCTTCACACTGAGGCTGTGCCCTCGGTCCTAGTCTCTCCTATTATTGGAGACATCTTCTCCATGTCCACTCTACCCAGGCTTCTCAGTAGAAGTAGAATTAGAATTAGGTTTATTGTCACCTATACTCAAATACAAAGTATAAGAGTACAGTGAAATGTGTACAATGTTGCCAAACATGGCACCATTTTAGCACCTGCATATTGAAGTGCCCCATGATTATTATAATAGTACCTTTCTTAAATGTCTTTCCTTTCTCCCAATTTATTTTCTTCCTCACATCCTAATGACTGCTAGGAGACTTGATCAGAACTCCCATTAGGGTCTTTTTGCCATTGTAGTTCCTCAACTCTACCCACACAGACACTATACTTACTGATGCTACATCACTTCTTGCTATCAATGTAATTTCATTTCTTATTAACAAAGCAACTCCACCTCCTTCTGCCCATCTGTCTGTCCTTTCGATAGGATGTGTATCCTTGGATATTTAATTCCCAGTCTTGATCACCTTACAGCCATATCTCTGTGATACTCATAACATTGTACCTACCAACTTCAATCTGTGCTTCAAGCTCATTTATCTTGTGCATTTACATACAACATCTTCAGTCCTGTGTTGACTGTCTCCCTTCTCATAGTTGTCCCTTTATCTGCTGTACCTGAAGTTAGATTCATGACCCTTTCCATACACTCTGTCCTATTAACTGTTCAGAAAACTTTAATAACCTCTGCTGAACCCTCCCCCAGCTTTAACATCTACCATAATTTTCCATGCAACTAACCCCAGCCCCCCAACAGCACACCACTCCACCCCCCACCCCACCCCACCCAACCACCACTATTTCATTTAAAGCCCTAATCACAGCCTTAGGCAATTCGCCAGGCCTCTCATCCCAGCACGATTCAAGTAGAGCCCATCCCATCAGAACGGCTCCCTCTGTCCCTAATGTCCCATGAATTCGAACCTGGTTCTCCCACACCAATCTCTGAGCCATGCATTTACCTCTTTAAGCTTGTTGACCCCGTGCCAATTTGCTCGTGGCTCAAGCAATAATCCAGAGATTACTATCTTTTTGGTTCTGCTTTCTAATTTAGCTCGTAGCTGCTCATATTGCCTCAGCAGAACCCCTTTCCTCTTTCTACCTTTATTGTTGGTACCTACGTGGACCACAACAACTGGATCTTTCCCCTCCCACTCCAAGTTCCTCTGCAGCCCAGATGAGATATCCTGAACCTGGGCACAAGGCAGACAACACAGCCCTTGGGACTCTCGATCCTGGCCACAGGCAGCAGTGTCTATTCCCTTTGCTATACTATCCCCGATTACCACTATCTCCTTGCTGATAGTCACGTCCTCCTGTCTCTAACCACTGACCCAATTTCAGGTAGTTAATCTAAGAGGTGTGACCACCTCCTGAAACACAGATCCCGGTAACTCTCCCCCTCTCTGATGTGTTGCAGTGTGTGAAGCTCAGATTCCAGCTCATCAATTCCGAGCCAGAGTTCCTCAAACATGCAACACTTGCTATAGATGTGGCCATTATAAACCACAATGGGGTCTACCAGCTCCCACATTGTGCAGTTACATGACATGCCTGGCCCAGTATCTCTATGTCAATTACTTAATTAATTTGGCTTTTAAAAATTTCATACTGGTCTTTTAGTTTGTAGTCTGTAAATATTTCCCCTATTTACCTTCAGTCTGAATGTAACCTATAATAGGAAGTCAAATTAGTAGCTATCACCAGCCAATGACTTACAGCTTCTCTGTGATGTCAGTCTTTTCTGCTGGGCCCCTGAACTTAGGCTTCAATTTATCCTGTTTAAAAAAAATCTTACAATGAGACAAAAAAAGCTAAATCAATTTCTCCCCTGCGCTGAATTCCTGTGCAGCCTCCAAATTCCCCAAACTACGTACTCACTTAGGCCATGTCTCACTCTGGATGTGATCTCTCCTTCCTGACTGTGTGAAGTGTACTGATAAAAGCAGTTAATTGCTCACAATAGTTAGCTAATCTCTTTAATCATATAAATTATTTAACAGGTTAGAACGAACATTTTCAAAGAAACCTTAGTTATAGAAAGGATACATTTGAAATTGTGAGTATTCACTGGAAAACAGCTTGATGGTACAACACGGTTAATTGGTACCTGTAATTTAAAGGAAAACAAGTGGCATCTCAAAAATCAGTCAGGACATTGGATTTAGTGATAATCAACAATTAGAAAAATGCTTCAAGTTTTCCTCACTACATGAGACTTTCATATCTCTAATTTAAAATAAACAACAGAGGCTAAATCTGAGGGGATAACAGAGTGTGGAGCTGGAGGAACACAGCAGGCCAGGCAGCATCAAAGGAGCAGGAAAGCTGACGTTTTGGGTTGGGACCCTTCTTCAGAAATGTCCCGACCCAAAACGTCAGCTTTCCTGCTCCTCTGATGCTGCCTGGCCTGCTGTGTTCCTCCAGCTCCACACTCTGTTATCTCTGACTCCAGCATTGGAAGTTCTTACTATCTCTAAATCTGAGGGGATCTGCTACTACTTTGGTGGGAATCCATTATAACACCCATAAACTTGGAAAAGAGATTTTGAAGGTCTTGGCCATCAGACACTATTTTCAGGTGACACTAGAAAGCCTTTCAAGGCCTTCTAGATGGACAGAAAGTCAGATCTTCAGTTGGGTTGTGGACTGTTATTTGTTAGTACACCTGATCACTAGAAAGTAAAGATGTCAGTGATGAACCGCATACAGAGTCTTGGTAGATTAGAAGATGTGTCATTGAAGAGTCCTCAGCATCAATTTTTAAGAGCCCTCCAATACAAGACCCAGATCCCCCATTTTCAGATGTCTGTTCAAGTTCTTCCTGAGTTTCCTAGAACTTTTTGCAGGGTAGCTGGGAGAAATACACACTGCAGCAGTACTCCCACAGCACAAATGTCTCATGTGCCTGTATTGCTCAACCTCACTCTAACTCACAAACACGGTCTCACCCTCTGCTTTTTCCCAAAGCCCTCACTATGATTTTTTTTTAACCTGAAAGCTTTTGATTTTTATTCTCCTTTTACAAAATTAATTGAACAAAGCTGCTGTGTATAAAAATACAAGAAACTCAATAAAAATATTCTGCTGTAGAAATAACTGAGCAGTACATATGCATTCCAAAAATGTTGGATACACAATCTTGACCTGCTAAGTCCAGATTCAAGTCACTGTCATAAATCTATGCAAAAATATCTAATTCAAGTTTATATTTTTGGGAGAGGCTAAGCCCAACAAGTAAAAAAAAAAAATACGTGTATAAAGCTTTAAAAGATAGCATGTAGTTCAGTACAGGTATTTAATCTTTAATTAATTGATACTTTTATTTTGTTTAAATTGGTGGTTGGTATTTTTCTTTTGTCAGTTCAAGTGTTTTGTCAGGTGAAATTCACGACACTCTTTCCAACATAACTCGAATCAAATTCTTTCTCACAATCTTCCACTCTTCACTTCATTAACTACACAACAGGGTCCTAGATGCCTTTCTTAGGGAACTGCACATACCTAGCACATAGGAAGATGGTCGTGGTTGATGAAGGCCAATCACCTCAGCTCCAAGACATGTCTGCAGGAGTTCCCCAGTGTAGTGTCCTAGGCCCAATCATCTCCAGCTGCTTCATCAATGACCTTCCCTCCATCATAAGGTTAGGAGTGGGGATGATTGCACAATGTTCAGCACCATTCATGACTCCTCAGATACTGAAGCAATCCATGTTCAAATGCAACAAGATGTGGTCAACATCCAAGCTTGGGCTGACATGTAGCAAGTAACATGTAGGCCACCCAAATGCCAGGCTATGATCATCACCAGTAACAGACAAACTAACCACTGCCCCTTGCCACTCAATGATGTTAGCATCACCGGAAGACCCACTATCAACATCCTGGGTGTTAGAATTGACCAGAAACTCAAATGGATTCACCACATACACACAGGGGTCACAAGAGCAGGTCAGAGGCTAGGAATACTGCAGTGAGTAACTCACCTCTTGACTGCCCAAAACATGCCCACCATCTACAAGGTACATCAGGAGTGTGATGGAATACTCCCCACTTGCCTGGATGGACTCAGCACCAACAACACTCAAGAAGCTTGACACCATATAGGACAAAGCAGCCCCACTTGATTAGCACTACATCCACAAGCAATGACTCCCTCCACCACTGATGCTCAGTAGCAGCAGTGTGTACTATCTACAAGTTGCACTGAAGAAATTCACCAAAGATCCTCAGACAGCTCCTTCCAAACTCATGACCACCTCCACCTAGAAAGACAAGGACAGCAGATACATGAGAACACCACCGCCTTCAAGTGTCTCTCCAAGTGACTCACCATCCTGATTTGGAAATATATTGTTGTTCCTTCAGTGTCATTGGGTCAAAATCCTGGAATTCCCTCCCTGATAGCATTGTGGGTCAACCCACAGCAGGTGGATTGCAGCAGTTCAAGAAGGCAGATCACTACTACCTTTTCAAGGGCAACTAGGAACGGCAATTAATGCTGACCAGCTAACGATGCACACATCCCACAAATGAATAAAAAAATGCACAGTTGTAAATGCTTAAGTGCTCACTACTGTTAGGACCTTTTTGGCATTCACACCAGTGGAATCAAAGTTAAAGCCCAGATGTTCACCACTTCAAATGCGACAGGCCAGAAACAGCCGCTCACACTGTGGTCCTTGGGCATTATGTCCAAGGGTGGCATGGTGGCTCAGTGGTTAACATTGCTGCCTCACAGCACCAGGGACCTGGGTTCAATTCCACCCTTCAGTGACAGTGTGGAGTTTGCACATTCTCCCTGTGTCTGCGTGGGTACCCCCTGGGTTTCTTTCCACTGACCTAAGATGTGCAGATTAGGTGGACTGGCCATAAGAAATTCAGGGTTACAGTGATAGGGTGGGGGTATGGGTGGGGGTGGGCGGGTCTGGGTCAGATGCTCTTTGGACGGTTGGTGTGGACTCGTTGGACTGAATGGCCTGCTTCCACATAGGGATTCTATGATTCTATTACATAGCCCAGAGGCAAGGAAAGTTCATGCCCAGCTTTGCAGGGGTCATGGATCTGGAGGTGATGGGGTTGGTGTTTGTATTCTGAATTCTTCTTTCCTACGTTGTTGGACAAAGAAATCAAAATTTATCTACCTTCATCTTTAAAATATTCAATGACGCCATCTCCACTGCATTTGAAGTTGAGAGGTTCAAAGTCACAGAAACTTCAGAGAAAAAAAAAATTCCCTCAATTTTGTCCTAAAGATCTGGAGTCACTCTTTACAGTAAATATCCATTCCACATTCACATTATTAAGACAATTCAGGGTCTCATAAATTCATATCAAATTACCCCTTAGTCTTCTGAACTCCAATGAAAACAACCTAGTCTGTCCAATCTTTCCTCATATGACAACCCGCTCATTCCAGGTATTAACCTGATAAACACAATGTGACAGCTGTGAAGCACGGTCTTCCAGTGTTAGTAATGAAATGTGTTTGTGAAATGAAAACTTCAGATGTTGTTTTGAGCACCTTTTTCTGTTTACAGTTGCTTAGCTGACATGACAAGGAGGCAATTACTGAGCACAATATCATGGTTGTGATTGCTTGGGGCCATAATTCTTCATGTACATTCTTTGACAGTGAACGACCTGCTAATGAAGGGCAAATTGAAGCCAAATGGGTGGCTTTACTGAATCAATGGAAGCATAACTCCTGCAACTGCCCTTAACAGAGCTTCAAATTCTAAATGTGTTATGCTGCCTTCACAGAAAGGAAGACTAAGTTATTCGATCCAGTTCGCATGCTGTCACAGCCACTTTGTGCAGTTATTCTGCAGTTGAATTTCAATCGACATGGCCAGTGTATAATTTTGTTTCAATGCCAGTGACTTGCAGGCTCTGCCTATGAGGCATGAATTTCCTTTATTCTTCATGTTCCCTTTTGTTTTACTATCCCTGTAGCTCTGTGACATTTCAGTCTCCGTCCTTTTCAATTCAGAGTCTTTATATAAATATTAATGTAACCACTTTATCTCTAATGTCCATGACGTAGGAAATTCGCGTGCCCTTATGGGCTCTATTCGCTCTGCACGAAGAGGCTGGAGTTACCATGACCTGTTTGAATTTCTATTCCGGAGCTCTTAGTCCCCTCTGATTCACTATGAGATACCATCCTAATACTTCCAATTGCCACCTACCATTAACACTTTTCCTTCAGTGAGACAATACAATGAAGCCCATCCAACTTCCCAGAACTCCATGGAGTTCCCCAGCAAGCTCCTGAATATTATTGCTGAAACTCCCAGCAGTGACCACATCCCAGCCCCTAGACTGATTTGGCAGGGCAGCACCAACTGACCACAGCCCAGCTGCAATAGTAATGTCACTGCAGCACCCTGACAGACCTACCTGTGATCTCCAGACTGCTTACACTTGACCTGCAAGACTAACTGTGGTCCGATCCTCACACAGATCCCTTGACTTTGGGAGACCAGGTAACTGGCCTCCAGGCTGAAATCAAATTCGCCCTAAATTGACTGTGACACTGTCCCCCTTCACCCCTTTAATGATTGCTCCTCTTTGATTTACATACATGGCCATTTACCTGATGCATATGCAATATGTTTGCTGCTGTATATCTGATGTTGCTGTAACTCATCAACTTTACTGACTGCTCAGTGCTCCTACCATAACAGGCTGTGCTATGTAGGAACAACACTAGCCTCACAGAGGTTGCCAACCATAAGTCAGTGCTGAAGTCACTCAGTGTGCATTTAGAAAGCAATAAGCAGTATACAGAGGTTGACACTCTTTCAGTCAGTGAATGGGAAAAAGTGAGCTAAGAGCCAGAGATACATCCTGGGCAGATGCAGGAAATGCCTGTATGTTCTTGCTCATAAACCACCTGGCAGAAGCATGCAAGTCATAGGTGTCTCTGAGCTCCAAAGCCAAGTCCCAAAGGGCTGACTGGTGTGCGAATTGGTTGACAGCAGACATGGCAAAGTAGTGGGATTGGTGGTTTGCTGATGCTGACTTGCGTGGGTAAAGGGTTGAGGAGGAGGGTGAACATGAAAGGTCATATATGAAGAAATAGTTGGATGATAGTTGAGTCGAGCATTTAGCAAGCTGCAGCTACAGCTAGCAATTCTGATTAAGATGTCAGGAATTTCCACAGTTGGGTTTCTTCGGGAAGGAGAGAAGGACTGGAAGCTACTTGGAAACAAGGCAAATTGGGTCTCTGAAGAAATGCAGATTTATGGAAATAAGATACTTGCCACTGAATGGTAAGATTCTGAACTCGTCATTTAAGGCTTGAGGGGCCTATTGCAACAATCTTTTTTGATGTCAAGATTCTGATATTTTCATTGTCTCTGTATTTTGCTATTATTGTCATCATTGCTCATGCCACATCAGGGAGGGGGATATTCCACCCATTACTACAGATATTAGATGCTTCAGTTACTTAAGAAAACAAAAGGCTGAAGACATAGGCTGAGTTTTCAATGAAAACCAAAAGAACTGCGGATGCTGTAAATCAGGAACAAAAACAGAAGTTGCTGCAAGCTCAGCAAGTCTGGCAGCATCTGTGAAGGAAAAAACACAGTTAACGTTTCAAGGGTCACCGGACCCAAAACGTTAACTCTGTTTTTCCCTTCACAGATGCTGCCAGACTTGCCGAGTTTTTCCAGCAACTTTGTTTTTGTTCCTGAGTTTTCAATGAAATGTGTATCTTAGAACAGAATTTAACACTTCCATAGGTGAATTTAAAATGCTATGCAGGCACTGTTTAAATTTGATTGCCAAATGTAAAATCATTTGAAGTGATCTTTGAACACCAAAAATGAGTATAAATGGCTTTTGTGTTAAATGCATTTCATAGGGATAGCAGTGATGAGGCGCTATCTTTAACAATTTCAACTATGTCTGCCACATGACACCATAATGATCTAAAAGATATTTTCTTCTGAAACAATTGAGCAAATTATGAGTTATATAATATTCACAGAAAGAAAATGTAACATGTTTGTAATTGTCAACAATTAAGATATTTGTAGTGGTTACCATTTTAATAGCTTTCTTGTGGTCTCCTTTTGCTTTTGGACTCTTCTTCTCCTTGTATACAGTGTCTGTTCAGAAAGAAAAGGGATCAACATTTAAAAATTAGGAAGTCTCTCAGAGATGCAAACACATATAGAACGATGCTCCCCCTATCTAATGACTCAGGCTAACAAATATCTGTGACCAGAATTGGTACTTGCACTTTCTTAGTCTTTAAATGATTTCACTGTCATGAACACTCCATTTGAAATTCATGAAACTGCCCTTTTAAGAAAACTAGTGCCAACAGCAACAGCACAAGATTTCTACTTCCTTCAATAAAATAAGGCTATTCTTTCACTATGGCAATGGGTTAAATTGGATAGTCCTGAAAGGTGCTGCAATGATTGCTAAATGAGAGTAAATCATGCATTGTTGACTAAAATGCAGGCAGCTTGCCATCTTTGTGTTGCCTGCTAATTGGAATGATTGCTATGCACAGCTGTTGCCACCTGCACTGTCTATTGGCTGCAGGCATCAGCAGGAATGATCCAAAACTGCAACTTCACAGTAATTCTTAGATTTACTTTGTGCTGATTGAAGCTAACCTGCGCCTCTTGGAGGGAAGTGCATTCTGGCTGGTCCATGTGCTAGCAGTCGTGAAAAAAACTAATTCCGTTTTGAGTTGGGGGAAATGGTGGAAAGTGCACAATGTTGGGGGTGCAGGTGGGAAATGCAGGTTCTAAGACGTTTGGAAGTTTTGATGGAAAGAATCAAGAAGGAATGTTCTCTAGATATGACAACAAGAGGCAATGGGAGTAAGGAGTAGAAAATGATTCCTCGTTTTCAGGCATTTTAACCTCAATTTCAATTTACCACACTGTCTTTTTAGTTCATTGGCTTCAGATCCTTCTTTAATCTCCCCAGTCCACCTCTCAATCACTGCCTTTCAGATATGTCAATGGGTATGGGCTGTGAAATAAAAATCAAAAGGGGCTGGACTTGGGTGCCAATTTTTTAAAATCTGGGCTTTTATTGCATCAAAATCGGCTATGATATCAGCTAAGTTGTGTGTGGCCTCACTTCTTAAACTCCCATATCTTTCTCTACTCTTTTAAGACCATCAAAATCCACTCTCTGATCAAACAGTTGGTTACCTCTCCTAATTGCTCCATCTTCAGTTTAGCTATTACTCTTTGGAGGTTGCTTAGCTCATTTGGCTGGATGGCTGGTTTGTGACGCAAAGTGATGCCAACAGCGTGGGTTCAAATCCTGCACCAGCTGCTATTACCAAGAAGCCTTACCTTCTTTATTACCTTCTTCTTAACCTCTCCCCTCACCTGACCACAGTAAACCACCGCCAGCCATCTCTCTCTAACATAGGAGCAGCTCTATGGTCTGGTAAGACTATAGCAACTTTACCTTTACTCTCTTCACACACGTCATTCTGTTTGGAAGATTTTTCTATCTTATGGATACAAGTTGATTTTTTGTTATCTGAACAACTTCAAATTGATAAACCTATCATTTCATTCTTTACCCAACACGTCTCTGTGTAGGCGATTGTAAAGCAACTGCAATGAAAAATCTCTTGACACTGAGGTGATTGCATCCTCCTGCAAAGCACTCAAAACTTCCAAAGGCAGTTCCAACAATAGTTTGTCAGCCAAGAGAATTACAAATTCTCCTAAATCTTGAGAATGGCCTGCAAAAAAATTGATAAAGTATAACTAAATTAGCTGCATAATGATTTCATTGTTTAAAAATAATCAATATTTTTAATGCTACATTTATTTTTCTCATTTTTCGTTTGGAACTGAGAGTTGGAGTTGAGAATTGAACTTTAAACAGCAGCTTGTTTCAAAAAAAAAAGAGAACAAAAGACTGATGTTTGGTCACAAAAACAGAAATTGCTGGAAAAACTCAGCAAGTCTGGCAGCATCTGTGGAGAGAAAGCAGTGTAAATGTTTCAGGTCCAGTGACCCTTCTGATGAACAGTTCTGAGGAAGAGTCACTGGACTCAAAATGTTAATTTTGCTTTCTCTCCACAGATGCTGCCAGACCTGCTGTGTTTCTCCAGTGATTTCTGTTTTTGTCCCTGATTTCTAGCATCCACAGCTCTTTGCTTTATTGATGTTGGAAACTGGCCTGAAAAAAAATTGCAGATTAATTACTGCTGTCAGAACACTGTTGAAGATACACCACCAAGATATTGTTATCCCCAGGAACTGGCAGCTGGTTGGAAGTTGAATTGGAGAATCAAGGGAGGACTGCTGCTGGCCAGCCAACCACAGAGGATGTTGAAGAAGAAAAAAAGAAAACAAACAGTGAACTAATGCTGACTGGGGTTTTGGACAGGAAGCAATTTTTGCTTTAGAAGTTGCTGTAGTGGGAAACTGTTTCTTGGTTATGCTCACTGTAATTATTTTTCAATTATTGACTTGCTGAAAGTTCTGAGAGGTCTGCTGAAGTTGTTTGCATTGACTGGTGATTTTGGGGTTCAAGCAAGACATACAGTCCTATCTGCTTGTAATACCACCCATCATTAAAGGGCTTCAAGAAGGTCTGATATTCATGGTTGAAACAGTTATCGAACTGGCAAATTATATTTCTTTTATTTAAAAAAAAATCCCTTAATTGTATCTGTCAGTGAGTGAGTGAAGATTTATATTCAAAGAAGATTGGGTTAGATTGTCAATATTAATTAGCTTCCCTGTTGTTCACTGGCATCTACTAAAGTTACATTATTAACCATAAATTATTAATTTTTGTTTAAGTTATAATGCCCAAGATCTATTATTTGTACAGTGTGGTAAGGAATAATTGAGCAATTTTGAAGGTCATTGGATGTTTTAGTTTCACTGTTAATTTATAAATCCAGTGAAAGTGAGGCTGATTTGCTTAGGCTTGCTATCCCTGTGTCATAAGACTGTGCAATTAAGAAATTATCTGAGTGAGAAAAAAAATCATGTAAAAGGTTTTATAAGCAGAAGCGCACACACATTTGTATAAGCAACCCTTTGCATATAACACATATATTTTGCTGTTTAATGGAATTGAACCACCTAAATGTTTAACTGATATTCTCATAAGAGGCACTCTTGATGTCTGCTACGTCTTCAGATGGGAAGATGGAAGGTAAATCTATGTTAATTAGCTTATGCATTGAAGAATCAATGAGTTAGGAAGTGTCAAAGAGATGAATAGTAGTTTCTGCTGCATATGGAATAGGGTAAGAATGAGAGTCGTTAATGTAATGGAGGTGGAAGTCATTTTTTGATTCCGGAGAAAGTATGGATTAGCAAAATAAAAAACAATAAAAAAAACCAAGGATGTTGGAAATCAGAAACAAAAACAGAAATCGCTGGAAAATCTCAGCAGGACTGGCAGCATCTGTGGAGCGAAATCGGAGTTAATATTTTGGGGCAGAGACCCTTCTTCAGAACTCAAGACATGGTGCTGTAAACAACCTGGCCTAGCCTAGCACCTTCAGTGTCTGTGCCGCACTCTGTTCAATAATATCTTGAGGTCAAGGGCAGTCATTCTCTGCTTACAACTGGAATTCAAATCTTTGACCCATGTTTGAAATGTGGACAGGTCAAAGGATGAAGTCAGTGATGACAGCATGTAATTTATGGTGGATTTAAGATACAGGCTTCCTAAGTTTCTAAGGGAAAATACCATAAGATCATTAGGCCATAGGAAATAGGAACAGGATAAGCTGTTCGACTCCTTGAGCCTGTTCCACCATTCAACAGGATCATGGCTGATCCCAAACTCCTCACATTCACTTTCCTGCCTTTTTCCATAAACCTTGATTCCCCCTATTGATCAAGAACCTAGCTATCTTTTTCAGCTTTAAATGTACACAAGGGCTCAATCAGAATGGTAGGAGAGGTAGACAGGTAACGCAGGATTCTCCTGTGACTATCCCCATCTCAAACATGTAAGGCATTTTGGGTATTGTGGTGGGGTTGGCCTCTCGTTAGAATTGACAGCCAGGTTTCTGTTACTGTGACTGACTCTATTGTAATGAGGGATATATCAGGTTCCAAGTGATAGATCATAATAGGGGACTCTCTAGTGTCTGGGGCACAGACAGATGTTTCTGTGGCTGTCACCGAGACATCAGGATGGTGTGTTGCCTCCCTGGTGCCAGGGTCAATGATGCCTCAGAGAGGGTGCACAATATTCTCAAAGGGGAGAGGGACCAGCCGGAGGTCGTTATGCACGTTGGCACCAATGACATAGATAGGCAAAGGGATGAGGTTCTGCAGAGAGAATATAGGAAACTAGGCAAGAAGTTAACAAGTAGGTTCTCAAGAGTAGTAATATCTGGATTACTCCCAGTGTCATGTGCTACTGAGAGTAGGAATAGGAGGATAGAGCAGATGATGCATAGTTGAGGTGGTGGTGCAGGGGGCAAGGATTCACATTTTTTGACTAGAGTGATCTCTTCATGGGTAGAAATTGCCTGTATAAGAGGAATGGCTTCCACCTGAATTGGAAGGGAACTAATATATTTGCAGGTTAATTTGTGAGTGCTGCTTCGGAGGCTTTCAGCAAGTATGGGTGGCAGCAGTGGGGCAGTGGGGGTGGGGGAAGGGGGTGCTGTGGGGAATGGTGTGATGGTGGTGGTGTGTGTTGGTGTGAATCAAATCAATAGGCAAAAAACAGAAAAGGCTAAGGCTGGTACAGTAGATAAGGGGAGCAAATCTAATGGTCAAGGCAGACAAGAGCTTGGCAGAGAATGGGGTAAGACTGATAGATTAAATTGCATTTATTTCAATGCAAGAGGCCTGACAAGTAAGGCAGATGAACTTAGGGCGTAGATGGGAACATGACTCTCGGGTATTATAGCTATTCCAGAAACATGGTTCAGCGAAGGACAGGACTGGGAGCTTAATGTTCCGGGATATAAATGCTATTGGAAGGATAGAAAGGGAGGCAAGACAGAAGGGCTCTCTTTGTTAGGGAGAACATTATGGCTGTACTTAGGGAGGATCTTCCTGGGAGAATGTCCAGGGAAGTTATATGGGTGGAACTTTAAAATAAGAAAATAATGATCACCTTGTTGAAATCGTATTATAGGCCCCCCCAATTGTCAGTGGGAAATTGAGAAACAAAGTTATAAGGAGACCTCTGATACCTGTAAGAAAAATCGGGTTGTAATGGTAGGGGATCTTAACTTTCCAAACGTAGACTGGGACTGTTATAGTGTTAAGGGCTTGGATGAGGAGGAATTTATTAAATGTGTACAAGAAAATTTTCTTAATCAATATGTGGATGTACCAACTAGAGAAGGAGCAAAACTTGACCTTATCTTGGGAAATAAGAAAGGACAAGTGACTGAGATGTCAGTGGGGTTGCACTTTGGGCCAAGTGATCATAATTCTACTGGTTTTAAAATACTGATGGAAAAGGATAGAACCGATCTAAAAATTAAAGTTCTAAATTGGAGTAGGCCAATTTTGACAGTATTAGACAGGACCTTTCAAAAGTTGATTGGGAAAGGCTATTTGCAGATAAAGGGACAGTTTGGAAGTGGGAAAATGAGATAATGAGAGTTCAGAGACAGTATGTTCCTGCAAATGTGAAGGGCAAGAAAGGCTGGTAGGTAGAGGGAATGCTGAATGATTAAAGAAGTTGAGGCTCGGGTCAAGAAAAAGGAGGGGTATATCAGGAATAGACAGCTGGGATTGAGTGAATCCTGAGAAGAGTGCAAGGGCAGTAGGAGTATACTTAAGAGGGAAACCAGGAGGGCAAAAAAGGGACATGAGATAGCTTTGGCAAATATAGTTAAGGAGAATCCAAAGTGATTCTATAAATACATTAAAGGCACACAGGTGATGGAAAAACCAAATTATGGTGGAGCTATAAATGTACATAATCCAAGATTAATCTCTTTAAAGCTTGTTAGTGAAATCCTTTCCTAGTTAATTGCCACATACCTGGAGTTGACTTTTCACCCACTGATTTGTCCTCTTTCCTTTTGGGTTTTGATTTTGCTGAATCCGTGCCTGCTACTGGGGAAGACTGTTGACTAAAACCATTTAAGATGAAAACATTCATTCAAAAGGTATCCATGTCCCATATATGCCAGAAATATAGCCTATATTTACTGGTTTCAGAGTAGCTTTATTAAACTATTTATTTGACCATTTGCTGCTCAGTTATCATTTTGTGATCAAGTCTCAACCACTGAACATTTGAGATATTAAGCATGTACTCTGAGATTATCCACATAGTGGTTTCAGCCCAGATCATAGATTAAAAATAAATATAAACTGGAACAATTTCTTCCCTAAATGAACTTTGAGTGACTATCTATTTTTGGGTTTTCTGCTAGATATTACTCAGTGTATGGAACTTAATGCTGACCCCCATGTTGGGTATCGTGGTGCTCATGTGTTTAATCAGACCGGAGGATGGGGTTGGAGACCCAGCCTTTTGGTCAGTTATAAGCAAAATTCCTGTCTTATTTATAACAAAAGGCAGATTGACAGGATCAGAGAAAAGACAGAATGAAAGAAACAGATAGAGAAAGGAAGAAGAGCTGCTTTGAGGCAGAGTCGGAAGCAAATATTAAAGTTTGACATCAATTCAGCGACCTGTGGTGTTCCTCCCTCAAAACACTTTTGCTTGAGGTGGGATAAACAGGTTAGTGGCTATCAGCCTGGTAATGGGAGTATCCAGTTAGAGTAACTAGTTATCCATTAAGCAGCATACACAAACACTGTGAAGTCTTGCCACAGCACTGGGCCTGGTGTAAGACTTCATAACATTTCTATATGCTGCTTAATCAACATCTAATTGACCCCATCAAATTGTCTAAAGAAGAGTCATACCAGACTCAAAATATTAACTCTTTTTTTCACACCGTAGATTCTATAAGACGTTTTGTGTTTGTTTCAGATTTCCAGGATCCACAGTACTTTGCTTTTATCTAATTGACCTAACTGGATATCCCTAATGCCAGACTGGTATCCATTAACTTGTTTGTCCCTCCTCTGGCAAGTGTTTGGAGGCAGGGACATCACAGGGAGCTGACTGGACATAAAACTGGCTGTGCCTCCAAACAGCTATCATGGAGCTGGGAAGATTTTGCTGTGAGTATAATGTTACAGCACGGCCATGCTGAAATTACCTAATTGGAAAAATCTCGTGAAACAATTTGGTTTAACATATTGCACAGCCCTAGCCTGTCATAGAAACCAATTCTCCTTTAATCCCAATATATTATTTTACACCTGAAATTCCATGGCCCAGGAGTTTGTCAGTCATGCTAGAAATTAATGGTCCATGTTTGCTGTGTCCTTTTTTGTCAATTTGTGAGGGGCTTCATTGAAGGGTTGAGCCGCTGCTGATCTAACAAGATCACATGACAGAGGTCACACGGCAGGAGGAAGGTCCTTCCAACCTAGGTGAGAATATCCATATCACCACCCTGGGAAGGGCCTAATGATAGCCAGCTGCATTGGCCTCCAGCTAGCATATATAAAATCCACCAGCAAATATAGGCTGCATGATGGCTTAAAGTCCAGCAACCTCAAGATGTTGCATGACTTTACATACAGAATCTTTTGAGTCTTATGGACATGTTTTTGGGTGGAGATACAAAACAGAGCAGCTAGCAACAATACATATTGTTGCCTTCCTACACACGGCTGCCTGAGACTAGCTGCTGGTGGCCTGGATGCTCATACAGATTAGGAAATTCAGGAAGCTACTCCTCAGACTGCAAACTAAGTCAAAGATTTCTAGAAGGCATATCCAGTATAAATACCTGTTGATCATATACACATTTAAGCCAGCGTCTATCGGGTGTCAGAAACTCAAAGGCTCACCAAAATAAATCAGATTTATTTTTATGGCTGTTATGAGGAATGCATTGTGAGTACTTACGGAGAAAATGTAAAGTCAAACTGTGACAGAACAGGATTCAGGTAATCTTCCATAGATGCAATAATACCGGAGAAATCTGCATCGAGGCTGAGTTCAAGTTCTACAGTACTTTTGGCTTTCTTTTAATTTGAAAATAAAAAAAAGATTAAACTCCTCATCTTAATATCTTAAACACATTTATTGCCAGCTGATCTCTAACAGAAAACAATATAATCATTCTCTTTGCAATATTCTCAAGAGCACAGATTTCAAGCGACTAATTCTGTTTTTATTGCCTGGCATTCTGGGACAGCTTTTTGGGATTGAATTTCATGACTCTTCATTTTCTGTGAAAACTGTAAACCAATAACTTTGAAAATCCTGAAACCAATTTGATGGATTTACTTTATTCTTATTTTGGGAGCTAGTGTTGAATGTGTAATTTTGATGCTTATTTTCTTGAACATTGTGATCGATGATTTGTTTTTTTTTGTCCCTACCTCAGTTGGGGGTAGTAAGAAAGTTTTATTTTAGAAATTACAGCCTGAAGAAGCTTTTAAGATGGATTAACTACGTTTTTGTTTTTTTTTTCATTCATTGTTTGCGAGTTTGTTGGAAAGGCCAGCATTCTTGCACAACCGCAATGGAAATGTGGACTTTGCTGGCTGCGATAACATTTGTTGCTCAAACCTAGTTACCCTTGAAGAGGTGCTGGTGAGCTGCCTTCTTGAATCCCAGCAGTCTGTTTTGTGTAGGTAGATCCACAATACTGTTAGGGAGGCAATTGCAGGATTTTGACCCAGTGACAGTAAAGGAACAGCAATGTATTTCCAAGTCAGCTTGGTGAGTGATTTGGAGGAGGTTGAAGGTGGTGGTGTTCCATGTATCGCTTGCCCTTCTCCTACTAGATGGTGGTGGTCAAAGGTACTTTCTCAGAAACCTTGGTGAAGTTTTGTAGATGGTATATACTGCTGACATTGTGGTTTATCAGGAGTGGATGTTTGTGGATGTGGTTCCAGTCAAGGAGGCTGCTTTGTCCTGGATGGTGTCAAGCTTCCTCCAGTTTGTTGGAAGTGCATTAGTCCAGGCAAGTTGGGGAGTATACCATCACACTCCTGAGTTATGCATTGTAGTTGCGGACAGGCCTTGGGGAGTAAGGAGGATATTCATCACTGTATCATTTCTAGTCTCTACACTGGTTTGTAGTCACAATACTTACAAGACTATTCCAGTTATGTTTCTGATCAATAGTAATCCCCAAGATGTTAATGGTAGGACATTCAGTGATGATAACACCACTGAATGTCAAGGAATGATTATTAGACTCTCTTGTCAGAGATGCCTGGTAGTTGTGTAATGTGAATTTTACTTGCTACTTGTCAGCAAAGCCTAAATATTGTCAAGGTGATGCATTTGGATATGGACTGGTACAATGTCTGAGGAGTCACAAATGATGCTGCACACTGCACAATCATCAGGGAACATCCCCACTTCTGACTTTATAATAGAAGCAAGGTCATTGATGAAACAGTTGAAGATGGTTGAACATTATCCTGAGGAATCCCTGCAGGGATGTTCTGGAATTGAGATTACTGACCTCTAGCAATCATAACCATCTTCTTCCTTTGTGCTAGGTTTGACTAGAATCAAGGGTGTGAACTGCCTCCATAGACTACTATAGTTCACATTGTTGTGAAGGGGGGTAGAGTTATTGTGGTTTGGGAGTCAGGAAGTTACAATTTGGTGTTTAAAATGCTTGGGGTGGGGGAGGGGAACATTGTATGGTCCCTTTAAAAGATGATGTGCTTTTTCTATGCTTAGAGACTTTAAAAAAGTCTGTGAACAGCAGTTTGAAAGTTTGCAAGTACATAGAGAACACTCGAATTGAAACATTTGTATTGAAAGGCTGTACAGTTAGCAGGCCAAGCAGCAGTTTTTATCAAGACAACAAGTTTTGTAATAAGCCAAATCAATTTGAACCAAGCACTTAGATACCAAAAAACCGATTAAATTTAAATCTGATAGTTTTGACAACATAGGACCAATCCTATTGTAAGAAATTGATCAAGGGTATAAAAGAAGGGACCAGTTGGACAAAGACAAGAGAACTGCTATCTGCCAGAGTTAACAGCCATCAGCTCTCAGAGACTCCTCTAAGTCTTAGAGAAAGAACCATCTAAACAACAAAGGTACCTATGGCACAACTAGTGAATATTCCTGATAGAAGAATCGATGGAGAAGGCACAGAGCATATCGGAAGACACGTAACATGGCTGTAATTTCAAGAGACTAAATTCTATTTTAATTTTATGTAAGTGGGACTTATATTTATTGGAACAGCATACCATAAGAATCTTATTTTATTCAGGAATAGTTAGTAGGTAGAAGGGGTTTATTCAGTTTATTAATAGTTTAGTTAATTTGTTCACTGTTAGAGTTAGATAAATAAATTGTTACTTGTTGATTGTAAAGTGAGTGACGGGGTTTACTTTATTTAACCACTAGAAGTTGCTGAAAGGCAGGTACACTATTTTTCACACTCCTTTTTACCGATTATAGGGTAAGGTGCTCCTCTTTGGGTGTTTTGGTTTTACTTCTCAGGGGAGGCTGGGACAACCTCTTCTTTATAACAACATCATATCGGTTTATCTAATGATCTTATAGGTATGTCTAGTGAAGGAATCACAATACAGTTCCAAGTCAGCATTGTGCGTACTTGAAGGGAAATCTGCAGGTGATGATGTTCTCATGCACCTGTAGCCCTTATTCTTCAAAGTTGTAGAGGTTGCCTGTTTGGAAGGTCATATTCAAGGTTAATCAATGCCTGATCACATGTGTGATGCGAATATTACTTGTCCCTTATTAGGCCAAGTCTGGATGTTTTCTTGCTGCATACAGACCTGATGAGGAACAGATTACTGTAGTCTTCCATCTTGTAGATGGTACACATTGCTGTCACTGTGTGTTAGTGTGGTGAGATATTTAAAGTTGTGCATGTGTTCCATGGTTCTGAATGGTGTTCAACTTTGATTAGTAATGGGAAATGTTGTTGAACATAGAGAGAAGAGTGAGTTGAGAGTATATGCCTTTGATATCATAGCAGCATTTAATAAAACATGGCATCAAGGAGCACTAGCAAAACTGGAGTCAATGAGAATCGGAGGGAAGCTCTCCCTTGGTTGGAGATTCTTGGAGGCCAATAATCTCAGTCCTGGGACATCGTAGCAGGACACTCTCAGCATAGTGTCCTAGGACTAACAAGCTTTAACTACTTCATCAATGACTTTCCTTACATTATAAGATCAGAGTTGAGTATGTTTGCTGATGATTGAACAATGTTCAGTATCATTTATGACTGGAGAAATGAAGTAACCTGTGCCCATATGCAGCAAAACGAAGACAACATTCAGACTTGTGCTGATAGGGAAGTAACATTTACTCCACAAACACATTCAGGCATTGACTGTCTCTAACAAGAAAAAAAAAACCTAACTATCTCCCCCTGACATTCTGTGGAATTACCATCCCTCACTATCAACTGGGGTTGACACTAACCAGGAACTGAACTGGACGAGTCATATAGATGCTGTGGGTACATGAGCACATTATAGATGAGGGAATTCTGTGGCAGGTGACTCTCTGCTTTCTCCTCACTGCCGGTTCACCATCCACACAGCACATATAAAAAATACGATGGAATACTCTCTACTTGCCTGGATGAATGCAGCCGGCAACATTCATACAATACTTAAGATGCTTGAAACACAACAGGACAAAGCTGTCAAATTCAATAGTATCACATTCAATCCCTTTAACATTCACTCCCTTCATCATGTTACTACAACATCTACCTCCTTAAACAGGACATCCAAACCTGCAGCCCTTACCACCCAGAAGGACAACAGCAGTGGATGCAGGATAACATTAACATTACATAATATTCCCCTCCCAGCCACAAACCATCCTGACCTGGAGCTAAATTGTCATTTCTTCACTGTCCCTGGGTCAATGTCCTAGGACTTCCTAACAGCATTCTGGTAGCACCTACAACCCGTAGATTGTACCAGTTCAAGAAGGCAGATCATCACCATCTTTTTAATGGCAATTTGGGATAGGAATTAAGTGCTTGTCTAGCCAGTGATGCCCACCACCTATGCATGAGTAAAAAGCTTGTTAGATTCTCTCTTGTTGGAGATATTTATTGTCTGGTGGAGACCTTTTCAAGGACAAAACAAATTTTCATTCAGAGAATTGTGAGTAAATAAGGAATAAACAGCATAGATTTGGTAAAGGCAAAACCATCTGACTAATCTGATTTAGCTGTTTGATGAAATTACTATGGAAGTTGATGAAGACTGTGCAGTACATTTTGTACATATGGAATTTCAAAAGACATTTGATAACATACACATAACAGCCATATTGGAGAAGGACTAGTATTAAAAGGGACAATGGTACCTTGGGTATGAAATTGGTGACATGTTAGGAGGTAAGGAGTAGTTGTGAATGCAGTGATTACTGATTATACTTCAACTGCAGTATTGTATACAAATCAGAGCACCACATCTTAGGAATGACACTAAAGACTTGAAAAGCATGCAGAAAAGGCTTACTGGAATGGTATTAGGAAGATGGGATTTCAGGTATGCAGTTAGATTGGAGGGGCTGAAATGGTTCTTCTTCGAGCTGAAGAGATCAAGAAATGATCTAATTCAAAACTATGTGGGGTTATTTAATAGAGCACGTTGGGTCAAGCTATTTCCTCTGGCAAACAGAGGTTATTGTCTTAAAATAATTAGCAAACAAATCAGAGAGCTTGAGGAGATACTGCTTGTCTATAAGAGCAATGGGAGCAATTGGAATTGCAGTGGAACCAGATCACAAAATAATTTCAAAAAGGACAATTGGACATGTACTCAAATAAAACTAATTTGAATGGTTAAGAGCAAAGCAAAGCTCAGGAACAAGCAGACACTCTATGGTGAAATGGTCTCCTTTCTAAGGTCTTAGTGAAAATTTGTAGCTCGGGCCATGGATGCAGTTGTTTGTTAGCTCACTGAGCTGGTTCTTCCATGGTGTGCAGACATTTCGTTACCATTCTAGGCAACATCATCAGTGCAACCTCTAATCAAATCATTGGTGTTCTGCTCCGTTCCGAATTTATATGATCCTCTGGTGTGGTGGGTCTTGTCACTTCCATTTCTGTTGTTTTAGCAGAGATCTGTATACAGGGTCTATTTCTACGTGTTTGTTAATAGAGTCCCGTGTTGAGAACCAGGCCTCCAGAAATTCCCTTGCATGTCTGTTGTTTGCTTGTCCCAGTGTGGTCACTTTGTCCCAGTCGAACTGATGGCCCTCATTGTCTGTGCGTATCAAGACAAGTGAATATTGGTTGTGTCTTTTTACTGCCAGCTGGTGTTCGTGTATCCTGGTCATCAGTTTCAACCCCGTTTATTCAATGTAATGTTTATTGTACTCACTGCATGGGATTCGGTATTTCACGTTAGTCCTGTTTACTGTCAGTATAGGGTCTTTAGTCTTTGATAGCATTTGACGCAGTGTTAATGTAGGTTGTGTGCAATCATGATCGTATGTGGTCTAAGGAGTCTGTTGTCATTTCTGATATATTTTTGATGTAGGATAGCATTACTAGTATCTTCTGTTGTACCATGTCCTCTGACTGTCATTTGTTTCGTAGGCATTGGTGGACGAAACTTCTTGGGTATCCTTTCTATTTTAGAACAGTTGTCCCAATTACTTCAAAATCCATTCAGTTTGCAAAAGTGTCACAGGGCCATGTGGATTCAAGTTCCTCAAAGAGGAGGGTACTTTAATTGGGTGCCAAATTGGTTTCCTCATTTATCTCAACAGAAAGGGGCACCACTCGCAAAATGACCAGATTGTCTGTGACTACATGCAAAAACTCCTGTTCACCATTACCAGATTTGCTAGAAGATACTTTACCTTGAATTCTGCTGTTCTTGATCTATACAAAAAATACGTTCAACTAAATTGTGAGTGACAAAGAGTACCCCTTTCAGCCATGGATAATAATCTTCCTAAAATAGCAAAACACCAGTTGAGGAGGGCTATACTGGAATATATGCTTCGACAAGAAATGTCAGAGAGAATAATTGGGTCTGAGGGGAAAAAAAAATTATCTTGTAACATTAGGGGGCACTCTCAGATAAGTCCCAGAGCATGTATCCTGGAATTGATTGCTGATGTCTGTAAACCATTAGTCATGCAAAAGGACCTGAACATGATGGTTTCTGGTGAGACAGATAGGATTATTTTGCCTAAAATTAAGATTTTTTTTCCAGTTTGCAACAACATATTAGAACCAGGATAAAAGCATATCAGTTATTTATTGTTCCAATATGACGCTGCAAGTTGCTTGCAAAATGTCATCAAAGTGCAATGCTAGCGTCAAGAAAGGTTTGTATGCAAAGACTTATTTAATAAAATCATGATACCTATGCTATGCAGTATCATAACAGCATAATATGGTAGATTTGCAACATAGAAAATGTAATACATAAAGTGATTAATTAATTTCTGGCTTGTGACAAAATATAGATACAATAATTCAAACACTGATATTAAATTGGCAAATCAAATTAACTCACAACATCTAGATTCATGTCTTCTTGTAAATGTTGAAACTCGTCCTGCCTTTGCATCTTGTAATTACGCTGGTATTCGAGTTTTACAAGGTACTGTGCAAGCTTCTGCTTATATCTGGAGACTCTGGCCAATATATTTGAAAATAATTCAGGACATACAGAAGTACGAACAATTCTAGCTTGTGTTGGACTTGGATCTGAATCAATGAAATAAACAGTAGTTTGGTTAAACTTGACAATATTCAATGACAAGGTAAGCAAAGTTATGTTAAAATATTGGTGAGAAAACAGAACAAACTCAATTAGCATTATACCAAGATAATTTATTAATCTACAAAATTTTAAAGAAAAAGTAAGCATGATAATCATTTTATTTTAGTTTCAAATCCAGTCTAGATTTATGCAATGAAACCTTGTAAATAATCAAAAAAAATGCAAATGTATCAGGAGCAACAGTAGGCGACTTGGACCCTCCAGCTTGCTCCCCCATTTAATGAGATTGTGAACGAACCTCAACTTCACGTTCCTTTGTTCCCAAACGATCAAACAACCCACTCACTTAACAAGAATCTGTCTTTGTGTTAATATTATCCAAACATTGAGGCCCCAGCACCCATCCCTGTGGTACACCACTCATTACATCGTGCCAACCAAAGTAAAAAAGCTACTTATGCTCACTCCTGTTAGGTAGGCAATGTCCTATTTATTACCACTTTGTTACCCACTACACCATGGATTTTATTTTCTGCAATGGTTTTTAATGTGTCAATTTACTGGTGTGTCAAATGTCTTCTGGAAATCCAAGAGCAATATATCCACTGGTTCCCATTTACAATAAACTACTTCGTTAATGAACTCCAATAGATTGGTTAAGTATAAGTTCCCTTTGACAAAACCACAGAGGCAACAAGGTGCAGAGCTGGATGAACACAGCAAGCCAAGCAGCATCAGAGGAGCAGGAAGGCTGATGTTTCGGGCCTAGACCCTTCTTCAGAAATGGGGGAGGGGAAGGGGGATCTGAAATAAATAGGGAGACAGGGGGAGGCGGATAGAAGATGGATAGAGGAGAAGATAGATGGAGAGGAGACAGACCGGTCAAAGAGGCGGGAATGGAGCCAGTAAAGGTGAGTGTGGGTGGGGAGGTAGGGAGGAGATAGGTCAGTCCAGGGAGGATGCACAGGTCAAGGGGGCGGGATGAGGTTAGTAGGTAGGAGATGGGGGTGGGGCTTGAGGTGGGAGGCGGGGACGAGCTGGGCTGGTTTTGGGATGCCGTAGGGGGAGGGGAGATTTTGAAGCTTGTGAAGTCCACATTGATACCATTGGGCTGCAGGGTTCCCAAGCGGAATATGAGTTGCTGTTCCTGCAACCTTCGGGTAGCATCGTTGTGGCACTGCAGGAGGCCCAGGATGGACATGTCGTCTGAGGAATGGGAGGGGGAGTTGAAATGGTTCGCGACTGGGAGGTGCAGTTGTTTAGTGCGAACCGAGCGTAGGTGTTCTGCAAAGCGGTCCCCAAGCCTCCGCTTAGTTTCCCTGATGTAGAGGAGGCCACAACGGGAACAGCGAATGCAGTATACCACATTAGCAGATGTGCAGGTGAACATCTGCTTGATGTGGAAAGTCTTCTTGGGGCCTGGGATCGGGGTGAGGGGGGAGGTGTAGGGCAGGTGTAGCACTTCCTGCGGTTGCAGGGAAAAGTGCCGGGTGAGGTGGGGCTGGAGGGGAGTGTGGACCGGACAAGGGACTCGGGAAAAATGTCTTTGGTGGTGGGGTCGGATAAGGGTGGGGAGGGAAAAATGTCTTTGGTGGTGGGGTCGGATTGTAGATGGCGGAAGTGTCGGAGCCGACCCCACCACCAAAGCCTTCCTGCTCCTCTGATGCTGCTTGGCCTGCTGTGTTCATCCAGCTCTGCACCTTGTTGTCTCAGATTCTCCAGCATCTGCAGTTCCTACTATCTTTGACAAAACCACATTGGTTCTACCTAATTAACTCAAATTTTTTCCAAGTGCCCTCCTTAACTTCTTTAACAACAGCTTCTAACATTATTTGTACAACATACATTAAACTAACTGGCCAATGGTTTACCTCATTATTTCTCCCTCAATGTTTGAATGAGTTACATTCACTATCTTTCAAATTAATGAACTGCCTTCCCAAATTTAAGAAATTTTGCAAATTAGAATTAATATATCAAATAGCTCATGAGCCAATTCTTTTAAGACCGTAGGATAAGGTCCATCAGGACCCCAGTATCATCAGACTGCAGCTCCAACAAATTTGTTCAGTACCATTTCCTGGTGATTGCCATTTTCTCAAATTACCCCTGCCCTCCTATTTCCTGATTTACAGCCATTTCTGGGATGGGTTAACTAGGTTGTTCTCATACTTTTAATTTTTCCCACCTTATTGTTTAGTCATCCTTTGCCTCTTTTTATATTCTGTCCAATGTTCTGACTTGCCACCCAGCTTTGTGCAATTCTATACTTTTTCTTCAAGTTGATACAATCCTTAACTTTTCGGTCACCCATAGTTCATAGGTCCTCCCTTGGAACTTAAATTTAAGGAGGAAGTAGACAGATTATTAATTCGTAATGGATTGAAGGGTTATGGAGAGCAGGCAGGAAAAAGGAGTTGATTCTGAGATGAGATCAGCCATGATTGTATCAAATGGTGCAGCAGGCTCGAAGGGCTGAATTGCCTAATCCTGCTCGTATGTATCCATTCTGTGTATTCTAAAATATTCTTATAGATGTTTGCATTACTATTGACCTATTCCCTAATCTAATGTGCAAGTTCACTTTAGCTAGATCTACTTTTATGCCCAAGTAATTAAAACAAGTGGTTTAAAATGCTAGTCTTGGACACTTGCCCCTCTCCCTCATCCTGAATGTAAATTTCAATGATATTGTGATCGCAGCAACCTGGGGCACTGTCACGATCAGAGACAACAAGGTGCAGAGCTGGATGAACACAGCAGGCCAAGCAGCGTCATAGGAGCAGAAAGGCTGACGTTTCGGGCCTAGACCCTTCATCAGAAAAAATTTCAGTTTAGGCCCGAAACATCAGCCTTTCTGCTCCTATGCTGCTGCTTGGCCTGCTGTGTTCATCCAGCTCTGCACCTTGTTGTCTCGGATTCTCCATCATCTGCAGTTCCTGCTATCACTGTCACTATCAGGTCATTAATGAATCCCATCTCATTACACAATACCAGGTCTAGTAATAGCCTGCTCTTTGGTTAGTTCCAGAAGTGCTGTTCTGAAAATCTAGGAACTTTTCAAGGCTACTCGTGCCCATTTGATTCTTCCAGTTTGTATGTAGATTGAAATCCGCACAATAGCTTTCTGACAAGCAACCATTATTTACTCCTTTATACTTCGTCCTACAATGTGGCTACTGTTTGCGCACCTGTATACCACTCCTACAAGTTATTTATTGCCTTTATTATTTTCTCCTTTTGACTAAAACTGCTTCTGCTTCCTGATTTCCTAAAGCCAAGTCACCCCTCTCGATGGTGTTAATACAATAATCAATTAATACAGCTACCATTTCCTCACTTCCAGTACTTCCCAAATGTTCTGTAGCCTTCAATATTCAAATACCAATCTATTTTATCCTGCAGTCATGTCTCTGTAATGGCTATAAGATTAGACTTATTGATTTCAATTTGCACTATCAATTAATCAATTTTGTTCCAAACTCTACATGTATTCAGACATGCAGCATTTAGTTTTGTCCTTCTATTATTTTTGTAACATCTAAACTTATCTTTGATTTACTCAGATTTGTAATTTCTATCCTTACTGTTACGGAAACATAGAAAATAGGAGCAGGAGTACGTCATTCAGTCTATCAAGTCTGCTCTTTCATTCAACATGACAATAGTTGATCCTCTATTGCAATGCCTTACTACTGCTCTTTGCCCATACCCTTTGCCACTTTTAGTCTAGGAATCATTCTATTTCTTTCTTAGAAATATATTCAGTGGCTTGTCATCCGCAGCTTTATGTGATGGAGAGTTTCTTAAGATCACCAGACACTCAGATAAGAATTTCTCATTATCTCAGTCTGAAATGGCCTACCCAGTATTGTGAGACGATAACTCCTTATTCTAGACACCCATGCCCCCAAGCAGATAAAACATCATCCAAGCATTCAGTCTGTCTATCTTTGTCAGAATTTTATCCATTTCAATGAGATTTCCTCTCATTCCTCTCAATTCAAATGTATAAAGGCCAAGTTGATCTCTTCTCTTCTCATTCAGCAATCCTACCTTCAGTCTTCTGAATCTTTGCTGCAGTATCTCTGTGGCAAGCATAACCTTTCTTACATAAGGAGACCAAAACTGCACACAACTCGGTCTTGTGCTCAAATCCTTTTGCAATGAAGGCTAACATATAATTTGCCTCCCTGACCTCTTTCTGCAACTGCATGCTTGGTTTCAGTAACTGGTGTACAAAGACACATCAATGTGCGTCAACTTTTCCCAATTATCACTATTTAGATGATAAGTTATAGGAGCAGAATTAGGCCATTTGGCACATCGAATGGTGGACCAGACCCAATCATGGCTGATGTGTTTCTCAGCCCTATTTTCCTACCTTCTCTCCATAACCTTTGATCCCCTTAATAATCAAGAACCTCTCTATCTCGGTCTTAAATGCACTCTATGACTTGACCTCAACAGTCTTCTGTGGTAATGGGTGCTACAGATTAACCCACCCTCCAACTGAAGAAATTCCTCCTCACCTCAGTTCTAATGGGTGGTCTCTTCATTCTGAGGTTATGCCTTCAGGTCCTAGTCTCTCCTACTCATGGAAACATCTTCTCCACTCCACTCTATCCTGACCCCTCAATATTTTGTAAGTTTCAAGAGAATCTTCTCTCATCCTTCTAAACTCCAGAATCCTCAACCACTTCTCATATGACAAGCCCTTTCTCCCTGGAATCATTCTTGTGAACCTCCTTTGGAACCCCTCCAATGCGAGCAAATCCTTCCTTAGACTTGGGGCCCAAAACTGCTCACAATATTCCAAATGTGGTCTAACCAGAGCCTTACATAGCCTCAGCAGTACCCCATTCTTGTACTCTAGCCCTCTTGAAAAGAGTGTTTTGTCCAACTCCTTCTGCAGCCTCTCCACTTCCTCAACACTACTTGTCCCTCCACTTAGCTTAATGTCATCTTCAAACTTAGCAACAATGCCCTCAGTTTCTAGAATCATAGAATTCCTGCAGTGATGGAAGCAGCCACTTGGCCCATCGAGTCACACCGACTCTCCGAAGAGCATCCCATCTAGACCCACCCCATCCCTGTAGCCCTGCATTTCCTATGGCTAATCCACCTAACTTGCACATTCCTGAATACTATGGGCAATTTAGCATGGCCAATTTACCTAACCTGCACATCTTTGGACTGTGGGAGGAAACCGGAATATCCGGAGGAAACCCATGCAGACGCAGACAGACTTGCAAACTCCACACAGACAGTCACCTGGGTGTGGAATTGAACCTGGGTCCCTGGAAATGTAAGGCAGCAGAGCTAACCACTGAGCCACCATGCTACCCTACATTGTTAATATATAATGTGAACATTTGTGGTCTCAACACTGATCCCTACAGAACTCTCCTAGTCACAATCTGCCATCCTGAAAAAGACCCCTTTATCAGCTCACACTGCCTTCTGCCAGTCTGCCAATCCTCTTTACATACAAGTACCTTGCCCCTAACACCATGAGCTCTTATCTTATTTGGCAGCCTTCTGTGTGGCATCTTTTCAAAGGCCTTCTATGAATCCAAATAGATCATGTCCACTGGCTCTCCTTCGTCCAACTTGCTTGTTAGCTCCTCAAAGACTCCCTAATCTGTTTTTCTCACCAACGTGGACAACTTCACACAGCAATGTTATATAATGCACCTACAACATTTTTGTCCACTCACTCAACTTGTCTAAATCACGTTTAAACTGCTTTACATCCTGTTCACCACTCACAACCCCACCTAGCCTTGTGCCTTCAGCAAATTTAGAAGTATTACATTTGATTCCATCATCCAAATCATTGATCTTTATTGAGGTTACTTTACTGAGGTTACTATACTGAGGTTCAAGCACTGACCCTCTAATCACTGCCTTCTTACTCTGTTTCTGTTTCCTGTCTGCTAAACAATTCTCAATCTATGCGGGCAAATTATTCCCAATCATATGTGTCTTACTTTTGTTTTAGATTTGTGGAGCTTTCAATAGTTTTTTTTTCAAATATTCTCTGAAAATCCACTGTATTCACTGATTCTCTCTTTTCTACTCTACTAGTTCTGTCCTCAAAGAGTCTAGTATGCTTGTCAAACATAATGTTCCTTTCATAAATCAATTTTGACTTTTTCTAACCCCATTGATATTTTCTAAGTGCCTTTTTTTATCACATCCTTTATATTAGTGTTTAACATTTTCCCTATTACTGATGTTAGGTTAACATCCTTTAGTACTCTGGCATATAGATGATCAGGTCCTAGTGATTTATCAGCTTTCAATCCCATTAATTTCTCTAGCACTACCTTTCAAAAAAAAAACTAATATTAGATTTCCTTCAAGCCTTCTTTCAAATTAGACCCTTGGCTCCCTAGAATTTCTGTGACGTTACTTGTGTCTTTTTCTATAAAGTCAAAACGAAAATCGTTGCTTGAAGAATCTGCCATTTCCTTGTTCTCCAGTATCCATGCTCCCATTTTGGACATGAGGGACCTACATTTATCTTCACTAATCTTTCTCTTCTTACATACTTACTAAAGCTTTTACAGTGCTTTTATGTTCCTTGCAAGTTTACTCTCATGTTCTAATTTTGCCCTTTTTGTCAAATCACTACTTTACATAAGCACTTTCCTCCCTTGCCTCAACTCTGCTCATTGATTTACCAAATCTCTACATTTGATCCCTTGCTTCCACTATTTAGTTTATTGGCCTCTCTCAGGATCTGAAGGATCAAAGCTTCCCAAAAATGCTAGTTAATACTCAACTGCCCCAGTCCAGTCTTGGCAAATGTTGCCTAATCCAACATTGACTACAATATTTTCTTTTGAGCATAACCAGTTTTTCTTCAGTATGCTACTTGTACTTTTTTTGCATAGCTTCACAAGCTCAATATTTATTACATAAGAAGGCCCACGCAGTGCCTTTTCGGTTGCTACCGGTTCATGCATGTACTCAGATTAACAGAAACACTGGTACTGCTATGTTCTCCATAGGTGGAACATCATTAAACATCTCCCTCACAGGAAATTCACAGATAGTCCAGATGATATCTATGTTATTACACCAAAAACATCAGATTTGATATTTGGAGATAGTAGGAACTGCCAATGCTGAAGAATCTGAGATAATAAGGCACAGAGCTGGATGAGCACAGCAGGCCAAGCAGCATCAGGGAAGCAGGAAAGCTGACGTTTAGGTTGACTGACCAACCCCCATCCTAACTCCCCACCTACACTCACCTTTACTGGCTCCATCCCCGCCTCCTTGACCTGTCCACTTCCTCTTCACCTATCTGCTCCTTTATCCATCTTCCATCTGCCTCCCCCTCTCTCTCTATTTATTTATTTCAGAATCTCCTTCCCCTCCCCCATTTCTGAAGAAGGGTCCAGACCTGAAACGTCAGCTTTCCTCCTCCTCTGATGCTGCTTGGCCTGCTGTGTTCAACCAGCTCTACACCTTGTTATCTCAGATTTGATATTTGATTTGTTTTTGCTACCAGCATATAAAAGAAGCAGAAGAATGAAAAACAGTGATATTTAGAAGGCATGGTCTAGAGTGAGAATTTCAACGTTTAGGGGCCAGGCAGATGAAGATACAGTCATCAATTGTGGAACAATACACATAATGGATTTGTAGTAGGCCAAATTTAGAGAAATGCAGAGATCTCAGAGGGCTTTACAGATTAGGGAGACAAAGTCGCAGAGCTTTTTTTGAAATCAAGCATGAGAATCAATGATTTATTCAATTTCACAAAAGTTCCTCAGTTGAGGAATGTTATACAATTGCTTCTAAGTTAAGCTATCTCTTTCATTGTTAAGCTATTATCCTAGTGCTATTCTTCCATGATATGAAAATGCATAATAATCCATTTTGGATCTTGGACTTTACAATTAGAGGTAATGAGTACAAAAGCAGAAAGTTATGCTGAACCTTTGTGAAAGCTTTGGTAAGGCCACAACTGGAGAATTGCATCCAATTTTGATCATCTACTTCAGGAAGAATGGGAGGGCTTTTGAGAGAGTGCAGAAGAGATTTACCAGAACGGTTTCAGGGATGAGGTACAAGGTTAGACTGGAAAAGCTAAGTTTGTTCCCAATTATCAAAGGAACTTGCAGGGAGATTTGATAGAGATATACAAGGTTATGACATGCTCGATAAGGTATACAAGGAAAGCATTTTCCCATTAGCCAATGGTACAAGTATTAAATGACATAGATTAAAGATTCTGGGCAAGAGATATAGGTGACAAAGCACATTACTGCAAAGCAAGTGAGGTCATGACTTGGAATTCACTGTCTACAAAGCTGGTTGAAGCAGAGATGATCATGGATTCCAAAAAGAAACTGGATGTGCACTTGAAGGAATTAAACTTACAGGCCATGGGCACAGTATGAGGAAATGGGACTGATTAGATTTGTCTACAGGTAATGGGCATACATTTTACAGGCTGTTTCTGTGTAACAACTCTATGAATATGTCACATTTCAAAGTGCAAATATTACAATTTTGTGTGAATAAAAAAATAGCAGATATCATTTCGGAAAAATAACTGTAAATTTCTTACTTTGATTGCCTTTGCCCTTTCTGTCAACGTTTTTTGATTTTGGTTTCTCAAGAAGTGCTCCATATAGCATGGATCTGCAACAGACCTGTATATTAGTTATTTCTCATCTCTGCAAGAAACTACATCACAGAGAGTTTAATATGGTTGTCACTTTTCACACATTCCTCTACAGGGCCAATTTAATGAGCCAGTTCCTGATTAAAGTTATCACCATTTTGTGTTCTATTACACAAGTTAAAATGACTTGAAAAGACTTGGACTTATACCACACTGTTCACAACCTCTAGATATTTCAAGGGTCTTCATAGCTAATTAAGCATAACTGAAGTGTAAGGTAAAGGTAATGTTGCTATTCTCCCAAAGGACTATCAGGCTGCTCTCTCATTAGAGAGAGCTGACTGGTGGTGGGTTTAAGTTGCAGGTCACCACTTATTTATTGTGTGATGTATAAAATGCAATAGCCAATACACAGCCATCCAGGGGTTCCACAAACAGCACTGTGATAAGAATTAGATAATTTCATTTTGGAAGTTAATCAAGGGATAAATATTGGCCAAGACTCCAGAGATAATTCTGCCCCAATTCTTCAAAATAGCTCCATGCAATCTCTTGACATTCAACTAAGCAGCTAACAGGGCCTTACTGAATTTTTCATTTGAATGGTGGCACCTTTACAGTAATCCTTAGCCTTGACTTTTTGTGTTTAATTTATTGAGTGAGAATTGAGCTCAGATGTGTCTGACTTGTAGATGAGTTTGTTACTACCTGAGCCATTGATGACAGAAGAATTCAGACATTTGGAAACAATATGTAGCTTTAAAATTGGAATGGTATTAATTTGGAAAGCATGCTTGCCTGTTTGTGGGCCTCATTCTTTATCATTTTCATTAACACTGTCATGAAGAGTGTTAGTTCCCAAAACCCATCCCAGTTTCTCTTTTCTGTTTTCCAAAAGATTGTTCCCAAGTTTTTCAACTACCTATTCAGCAGCAAACTGGATGAGCAGAAATCTCTCTCAACCTTAATAGCAATACAAACAAAGCCATAATTTTTAGCTCATGGCAACACCTTGACTTCTGATATTGACTCCAGGAATTACAGCAGATGCCAGAAAATCTGTGTAAGAATGTAGAAACATCAACATCAAAGGTGCAAAATCTTTATATTACGGAACTTTTGTATTACAGAAGTATTACGGAACTTTTCTCAAATCTATTACATCACTAAAACCTCTTTGTTCTATCTACAGAATTGTTCCACATCCTCTCATTTTGTTCCCTTAAATGGTTCATTTAGCACCATGAGTGGACATTTGTTCAATAATTACACCCTTGCCCTCTTGAATGAAGTCATCACTGGAATACTGAAATGGGGAATAGTGCAAAGTAAGGATTTTCAGTTCAGTATAATACTTTCGATAATCAGGCTGAATTTTCCCAAATTATGACTGTCAATTTGAGGAGTTTCATGAAGGGTTTCTTTCCTTTTATCCCAACTGCAGATCCCAGGACTGCACTTTGAAGTAGTGGGAGGGAAAGGAAAAATAAAACACAAGGATGCATAGGTGGCACTAGTGACCCTTAGTTGTGCAAAAAACCTGACATTTGTAAGCGTATATCCACTTTGCATGGTCGGTTGTGTAAATAACTGTAATTTTAGCTGCAGCTATGTGAATGAGGTACACAGTGTAGTTCTCCTTAGTGATACACCATGTTATAATCTTGTCTGAAGGATAGGGATTCTTTCCAGAGTCCTGTACTAGTATAAAAGCTTGTCATTATTGATTGAGAGAGCATCAGATGTTGTGACGATTTCTATCAACTTGTAAAATTAACTTTCATCAAACAACAGGAAAAGCAAAGAAAGAAAATGAACTGGTAAGCTGCATTTGCAATTGGGATTAAACAGAGGAGCTTGTCTCTCCAGCATCAATACATTTACAGTCAATGAATGGTAATAAGACCATAAAATCATAAGAAATAGGAACAGGCGTAGGCTATTCAGCATCTCAAGCTTACTTCACCATTTAAAAGGATCATGGCTGATCTGATATCCCTCACGTCCACATTTCCACCCTTCCCCAAACCCTCGATTCCCCTGCTGATCAAGAATCTATTCATCTCAGTCTTCAATATTCACAAGGATTCTGTTCCACATCCCTCTGTGGCAAGGAGTTCAAAGACTTGCAACGCACTGAGGGAAGAAATTCCTCATTATCTCAGCCTTAAATTGGCACCGCTTAATTCCAAACTATGCCCTCTGGTCCTGGATTCTCCCATGAGGGGCAACATCCTCTCAACCTTTACCCTGTCAAGCCCCTTAAGACTCAGAGTCACAGAAGCAGACCCTTTGGTCAACTAGTCCATGCCGACCATGTTCCCAAACTAAAGTGGTACCACTTGCCTGCATTTGGCCCATATCCCTCCAAACCTTTCCCATTCACGTACTTATACAAACGTCTTTTAAATGTTGTATTCACACTTGATTCACCACATCCTCTGGCAGTTCATCCCACAGAGGAACCATACTCTGTGTCAAAGAGTTGTCCCTCATGTCCTTTTTAAAGCTTTCTCCTCTCACCTTAAAAATATGCTCCCTAGTTTTGAACTCCCCCTCCCGAGGGAAAAGGCCCCTGCTATTCACTTTATCTATGCCCCAAATGATTTTATAAACCTCTATATGGTCATCTCTCAATCTCCCATGCTCCACTGAAAAAAAAGTCCAGCCTATTTTTATAACTCAAACCCTCTATACCTGGCAACATTCTGGTACATCTTTTCTGAACCCTCTCCAATTTAATAATGTCCTTCCTATAACAGAGTGATTAGAACTGCACAAATACTCCAGAAGTACTCCTATATGTTTCAATGACATCATTTCTCATTCTTCTTAACTCCAATGAGCAGAGTCCTAACCTGTTTAGCCTTTGCTCATAAGACAATCTCTCCATACCTGGGATCATTCCCACTTGCTGCTTCCTGCCTATGAGCCAATTCTTTATCCATGCCAACATACAACCTCCAACACCGTGGGCTTCTAACTTACAACTTTACCTTTCGTGAGGTATCCTGTCAAATTTCTGAAGTCCAAATACAAAATCTACTGGATGCCATCTATCCACTTGAGTTGAGATTTCCTCGAAGAAATCTCATAAATCAATCAGCCATGATTTCCCTTTCATGAACCATACTGACTCTGCTTGACTAGATTATGATCTTCCCCAATCTAAATTTCCATGATGACTTCACTCAACTCTGTTCCATTGAAAGTGATTGCCAAAGGCATTCTGTATGGGTTGTTGTGAACAACATTGCTGCAATGTAGCATGGTGAACGTGGTGTTTCTTATGATCAACGTCCTCATTTTCCCACTGAGAAGAATGTTGTGGTTCTCAGAGATCCTCATCAATTACCATTGTTGCCTGCTCCAGTTGTACAGAGCATAGCATGCAAGTGTTAAGTGGTGCCCTCTATCTGTAGTGCACTGCAATGAAGCCTAAGACCTGACAAGTATGGGAACTTCACCTTGAGGAGACATTGCATATCCCTCCGTGGCCTCAGAGGAGGAAGCTGTGCCA